ATATATATATATATATATATATATATATATATATATATATATATATATATTCAGAGAAAAATAGTTAAAAATAAAAATAAAAATATTTATTCGACGGAAAATATTTATTACTAATAATATATTTACTTAAATCTAAATTCTTTTGTTTAAATAGAATTTACAATTGTTTTTTTTTAAATCTGAGATCTTAAAGAAATTTTTTTGTTTGAAAAATATTGTGTATATACAAAAGTTAATATGTTATTAGTACCCATCGAATATTTTTTATTTCTTAAATATTTTTTCTCTTAGTTGAAAGAAATATTGAAAGTTTAAAGGAAGAAATGTAGAAAATTATGCGTATTTGAAGACTAAAACAATAAGAATCAAATTCGTGTCTAAGAATTGGTGTACCTACCTTGCGTTAATGAAAAATATTGAAGGTTTCGAACGTGATGATTCTTTTAAATTTGGTTTCAGAAAGACTAAAGTTATTTCCAATGTGTGCTCAACAAACCTAAGAGATAGGAAATATAGGAAGTTATTTCCAATGTGTGCTCAATAAACCTAAGAGATAGGAAATATAGGAATAGAGATAGGAATAGTTTAATAGGAAAATTTTGGGGAAATAAGACCTTATAAAATCCAATAAAATAGAATTTCGTCATGTAAACGCTTGTGATTTAACCTCAAATGATAATATTGATAGTGGACTGAAACTCGAATTTATCATCAATATAATATTGACGTATTGCGCTTGCACCGATTATTAAGATTATAACGAAATTTCGTTATCACTTGCGCGATAAAATTAATGTGCCACTTATCAAGCCACTGTATCAAGTTTAAAATGACTTGTGTGTTATGAAAAGCAACACGTGTCATGTTTGAAGTACAAAAGATGAGCTCGACAAACAGCGAGTGCGATTAGTTTGCTCGTTGTATTGCAGAAACACGTTTCTCGTTTCTCTGTTATTTCTACTGAAAAGGAAATTGACAATCGCCTGACATTGAGCAGCTGTAAACGCTTGGTAGCCGTGTAACAGCGACCAGGAAATGTGCGGCGCCGTTATTTGTCAAGCGACACCTCTCCGATTTTCGGTCATTTTTTATATTTTTTTTGGCGAAGTCTGCGTCTAAGGATTGCGCAGAGAATGTAGACGTTGTCGTGTACGGAGTATCAGGTTTTCATGCGATTAATCCGCTACTGCTCAAAAGTGATATCACTCTGTCGTAAAATGACCTTGCCGCTCTTAATGACACTTTCAGTATCCCTCCAGAGTTGAAACAGTCCTTGCTTCATGATAAGCCTTGCGATGTGAGCCTGGAATTCTTATTAGGCATGCGATGCGATTGCGATACGCTTTCCGTGCTGTGATAAATCACGAGTAATGCTGAAGAAAAAAGAAATAAAAAACCGCGAGCAGCTGTGTAGATTAAGAATGAGGATTGGTTACCAACACTGACCTCGATACGTGTACGTGTATACGTATATGCAGATATGTGGCTATGTGTGTGCGTGCGTGCGTATACGCGAATATCAAAGTCTAGCTCTCGCTTAAATATAACTCGCCGCAAAACAAAGTTTGACGCGTTAGCGGCCTTTTGCATAATAAATTATTTTATTTCGGGTGAGAGGTCCTGTGACGTAAACATCTTCCTGATTCTCTCTCCATGGTGACTTCCGTAATGTGTATCAATAAAAAAAAAAATAAAATTATTATCGAATATAAAGAGCGTATATATACATATATATATATATATATATATATATGTGTGTGTGTGTGTGTGTGTGTGTCTGTGTGTGTGTGTGTGTGTGTGTGTCTGTGTGTGTGTGTGTGTGTGTGTGTGTGTGTGTGTGTGTGTGTGTCTGTGCGTGTGTGTAGTGTGTGTGTAGAATAGGAGACGTGTTATACGTAGCATGCGTGATCGCGTTCCAATATAAGATTTACGGGATAAAAATATCCTGCGTCGCACATAGGAGAGAATATAAATTTTCGCTTGCCATTTTGTGGTTTTTTTCGGTTTATTCCACAGCTATTTCACAAACTAGTTTAGTCCTCTTTCAAGGGGAAAAATACCACGACGGTAGAGATTTCAAAAAATGATTTTGAACGCATATTTTTGTCCAGATCTATCTTTTTAAAACTAGCCTGGAAGATATTTAGAAAGCTATTGATCCGATTCTACCTTGCGGCAAATTCTTTGCAATTGAATTCTTTCCGTTTGTACGTACGAATTTTTTTTCTCGAAAACTTACTGAGAAACATACAAAAAACTGACTGATTTTTGCCGAAAATTCGTAATCTTTTTTTGTAAAATCTGTCATTTTGTGAAAATAAAACTTTTCTTAAAACTCCCCTTTACGTATAAACGAAATCACTTTCTAAAAAGTTTCTAAAAATCTTTACTTCGTTGACTTCGGATTAATCGTTCAGGAGTAATCATCTGGGCGATGTAATCACATTGTTCGACATCTTTCAGGGCTAGCTTGTCATAAAATATAAATTTTAAATAAACAACGTAAAAGTCTTTTTAAAATACGCACTAAATACATATCAACTGATCATTAAGAAAAAATATGTATTGTTATGTAGAAAAGGAATTTCTAAAAACACTTGTTTTCTCTCTTTCTCATCATAGTGTTAGATGATAGATCTTAAATGTGTACCATTTGTAGTTGCGATACTATGATAAGAGTTAACCGATCGATAAGATAAACTGACGATTGGATGATAATTAGTTTATATGTGGCAGTGCAAAAGCATTTCTTCAATGTATGATTTATATAGTGTATGCACAATGTCAGAGCAACCGAATTTATAGATATTTATGTTGCTTCATGCTTAATTAAGATCCCGATAAGACTCACATGACAAGCATATGAGAGAAACTTCTCCACTTATCAGTAATAGCTGATTAATAAGAGATATCTTTGTTTACATAATTAATATTAAATAATATTAGATAATACGTTAAGTAATGTTATGATACGATTTTGTTATTGTAAAGTTTGCAAAAGTTCGAATTTTAGCCATATTTCTCTTGTTAATAACTTGATAATGACTTAATAATAACTTGATAATGACAAAGCACCGCATGCAATGTTCAGTCTAAGTATCAGTAGTTATCTAACATTTCATGTCATCTTTTTCAGGTAATATTGTGATTCTCTGTAAAATGATCCATCTTGCCAGGTAATGAAGTTATCTCGGTGATACGACGAATTTTTGCAAATCTCTAGTATTATTTCACGATAGTTTAAAACATAAAATTGCATCACATATGAATCTGTGTCTCCTTGGAGGAATCTTTATTTTAATTGGGATTTCTGTTGAGATGAAATTTTCAATTCTGAACCTCCCTAAAGGACTAAATCAACAGAATTAAATCTGATCTACTACATTATTTAATACCCATTTTGTACTAATTTGTATAGCCAAAAAAGTTTTATACCTCGTACTGTTTTGGAAAAAAACATTGGTGCCAGCTTAATATTAAGTTTACAGAATCATAAAAAAAAGAAAAACAAATACGTAAATAGAAAGGCCCGAATTTGTACTAATTTGTACCATCAAAAATTTCAATTTTGCATTAATTCTTATTGAATGCTTCAGGAACGCGTGTCATAAATTTAACAATGTGTATCTTAATGAGGGGAGAAGTCAGTCAGGATTTTCTCTAACGTTAGATTCTTTTTTTGCAGATCAGGAGGTGTACATTCAGGGCGCTGCGGCGACACCCGTTGAATTGTTGAGAGCGATGACCGACTATGGGGTACGCTGCGATGTGAGGAACGTCCGTTTATATCACATGCATCTCGAGGGGGCCGCTCCGTTCGCCAAGCCAGAAAACGCAAGTATGTCGCGGTGTTCGCTATACAATCTCTTCTCCGTCTTTCAAAAATATCTTGTAAACAGCTCGCCACTGAATGTGCTGTTTTGTTCCACGTGTTCTTCTGCGTCACATATCTCGCCTTGTGCGATTTACATTTCATAATTCTTCTTATGAAATGCACAGTAAATGAATTCGTTATATCTGCATCTTTTAGTTACTTCTAGTTTTCAAGCGGGTACTTTTGTCGAGGAAAATATCATATACAATTAAGATTAAGATTCGATTAACATTTGACTAATGTCGACTTCAATATTAATGAACGTATATATGCTCAGAGCAGGTTTGGTCGGAAAAATACAGTATGTGGAAAAAACTGTGGTAAATTCCGGCTCGGAATTTATTACCGTCTCAGATTTTATTCAATAGAATAAATTGGCAAAAATTATAATAACTATAAAAATGACTTATATGTTTATACCATTTTATTTATATATTTATACAACTTTGTGTAAAAAGATATTTTTCTTTAATTAATAATACTAATCCATTTAATCTCCATACTAATCCCTTTAGTTAAAAGAAAAATGAAACCAATATAAAAAAGTAAAAAGTCTTTTTTAATTCATTAAAACATTGGACATATGTAAATATATTACTAATTACTAATATTAATTTTTATATTAATTTTTAATGAAAAAAACAACAATAGAATTAAAAATATTTACCAGTACAGATTTGGTTCGCCTTTACCATTCAACATCTTGTAACTAATCTTGTACTAATTTTTTACTGTATTAATTCCTAATCTATTACGGATTTTATTTGGGGAGAAGGAGAGGGGATAAAGCTTTGGAAAACACTCTTTCAATTGACGCGGAACTCGCCGGACAGTTGTGTAAGTGCATGACGAAATTAGTAAAATCTGCTGAAAGATGATCATTTTTACTTAATGCTTTCCATCACATTTCGACATTCATATTTTCGGTTAAAAAAAAGAATGATTTTGGAAAGAGTTCAGTTTCTGCTCGAAAGAATATAATTAAGATTATAATTAAGTATTTGTTTTATCATTTTTAATATAAAAGATCAGTTTTTGCCGATTTTTTGTGGAAAATACCAGTTTTTACCGCTGGCATGTATTTTATAAAAAAAATGCGGAATTTTGCAAACCTTGACTCAGGGATACGCTGTAAATCTAACAATGCGTCTTGTATCTTTTGTATGTTCAGAACACTTCCGATCCATCAGCTTATTCATCGGTGGCAACGTGCGGCCCGCGGTGAATGCTGGTACCGCCGACTGTATTCCCATTTTTCTGCACGAGATCCCGCGTTTATTTAACCAGGGCTACATCAAACCCGACATCTCCCTTATCCACGTGTCGCCGCCGGACGACAAAGGTTACTGCTCGCTCGGCACCAGCGTGGACAGCGTTCGGTCCGCCGTGAGTCATTCCAAACGTATCGTAGGTAAATCTCCGAAGGCGAATTGCATTTCCTCGAATGCTTGTCCTGCCGAGAGACATCATTTAAAGGGACTGTGTTGTTCACGATCATTGCAGCGTTAGTCAATAAGCACATGCCTAGGACCTTCGGCGACGCCATCATACACGTCAGCCACTTGGACTTCGCCGTGGAACATCACCAACCGCTGCCGGTCCACCCCGTGAAAGCGCCCTCGAAGGCCGAGCAGATGATCGGCAAGCACATCGCCGAGAATCTCGTTGTGGACGGCGCCACGTTGCAGTTGGGTATCGGCAGCATACCCGACGCCGTGCTCTCGTTGTTGGGCAATCACAAGGACCTCGGGATCCACAGCGAGATGTTCAGCGACGGTGTGGTGGATCTCGTGAACAAAGGCTGCATCACGAACAATCAGAAGAAAATGCACAAGGGCAGAATCGTCGGCTCGTTTTGTGTAGGCTCGGAGAAGCTTTATAATTTCATGCACAACAACCCCTTCATAGGTGAGTATTCGTCTCACGTCGCTGATATGCTTCTTCTGTCTTTCAACATTACCGTTCTCGAATATCAATGGCCGATTCGTCCTTTTACAGAAATGCTGGTAGTGGATTACGTCAATGACCCCAGAATAGTTGCCAAACAACCTAAGATGACTGCCATCAATTCGTGTATCGAGGTGGACATCACTGGTCAGATATGCTCGGACAGTATCGGGACGAGGATGTACTCCGGCTTCGGCGGTCAGCTGGACTTCATCATGGGCTCGGCAATGAGTGAGGATCAACTGGGAAAACCGATCATAGCGCTCCAATCGGTTACTGCCAAGGGCCACAGCAAAATACAGCCGGTTCTGACGCTGGGTAAGTGGGTGGAAGCTGTCGGAATGACTTCTTTACGTCACGCTGACTGTTAACTCTTTATTTGGCAATGGCTCTCTCAAGCAACATTAGAATGTCTTCTAAGCAAGAATAATAGATACAGGGCGCATTTATTAACATTGTTCACTCTGGAACAACATTCGATTATCTGTTCTGTTCGTCGGTATTTCAGTAGTTTAAGTTTTTGCAACTATATGATAAAAATCGTTGAAGATATATTTTTTAAATAATATTTTGAAAACAATACAATTGTATTCAGAAGACATCACATTTACTTCATTTAAACACAATTTTTTCCTTAAATTTTTAAAAATTTGTTAAATAAAGAGTTACTCTTTTTATTTTTGCTAATAATACAGTTATTGTTAGTAGCTTATTCATGGTAAATAGTTTTCCTAACTTTGTCGATGACATTTGTGTTCTCCACATTATTAAAAAAATATTTTATTAGAAACAATCAGTAAGTCGTTTTCTGGAGAATATAGTTGTGTTAAAAACATTTTTGTTATTAGTTTTTTGCTATTAATATTGTTACTGCTATTTTTTCGGCTTTTAACGTCCACGTTACGTTCACAGGAGCTGGAGTAGTTACCAACAGAGCAGTGGCGCGGTATGTCGTGACGGAGCAGGGTATCGCCAGTTTGTTCGGCAAGAGTCTTCAGCAACGGGCGTATGAGTTGATCAAGGTGGCTCATCCCGACCACAGAGAGGCCCTGGAAAAATCGGCCTTCGAACGCCTTAAAGTGATGCCCGCGCCGTAAGCCGAAAAAGCGCGTCTCACAGAAACATGTTATTCGATAGCATTTTATGATCGATCGTGCGTTCGCGTGTTTTATCCGCATACAACGGGAAACGAAGTGTCTTCTCTTTGTACGATATTCGTGCTCTCTTGCCTGAAGACAATTCGTCAGCCTGACTTTAAGGTCTACCTAGAATGAGAGGGAGAGAGAGAGCGAGATTGAGAGAAAGAGAGAGAGAGAGAGAAAGAATAATGCGTACTAAATTAAATTTTAACATTATTTACATAAGAATCAGTAATGCGTGCGATATCACGCTTGTTACACGTTAGACATTAAACCACGCGTGTTTTTTATAATATATATCATCAGGGAGACGTGTTCGCGCGTTGAGACACGGTTCAGACAAATAAAAGTATGGCGCGTATGGCACCGCATTCCGAAATGTAAACATTTTTTATATTAAATCTGTCGATGTTCCTTTGTATAATTTTCACAATGTTATCATTACATCGTAATGATGTAACCGAAGTACCATTATGCAAACGAGTAATATAGTGAGAACGCTGATATCGTTGGTATTTTATTGCACACCATATTTCCTTTCGTGTATTCTCTAATTGGAAGGAGAAGAAGAAAAAAAACCCGCAACGCATTTGTACGAAAGCGTTTGTTCGAATCGATAGTTTTGACAGCCAATCACGAACGTCGTCGAAAAATCGAATGCCGTCTCAACTCAGATGTTCAAAATGTTTTTAAGTTGAGATGGCGGCGGATTAGTTTTTTTTTTACGTTTATGGTCTGCGAGATCTTTTTTTTAGCCGATGCATGTATCGTGCGAATTTTCATTTTCACAGTCTATTAGACTCATCGTGTTATTAACGAAAGATCTCTCACGAGTCTCGTCCCTCCGTCGTTTGCTACACGTAAAATCGACTTCAAAACGATGAAAAGATGTTCCGGAATCTAAGATCGGCGCTTGGAAAAATTTGCCACGCGAAACCTCTGTGCTTGTGCAAACGCCGATATGTGACGAGGGAACCTTTCCAACCGTTGAAACGATGTCCAAAATGGGTTTGTGTGGAAGACGCAGTGAAGATCATAAACTCAGGTGCTCATAATCATAAATTACGTAGTAAAACAATTCTTAATTACTTGGTAATTATTTAAATTTATATCTCTATTAATATATATTACGTTAGGAGTATGAAATTGTAAATTTAGCTATTCTTTTTCTATTTTATGCGTGTTTCTGTTAAACTTTGGTGCTTATTGCCATACTATGGCAGAAACTTTTTAATTATCCAGTGATTCTTTGCAAAATTTATCTCTCTACTCTCATATCATGTTAAGATTATAAAACTAACAAATTTAACTACAACTTTACCTCTACACAGAGAAAAATATTTTACTGCTAAGAAAACTGCGATTATTTATCTTTTAAGTAATGATTACTTCAACAAAGAATATTTTCTTGATTGTCTTAAAATATAAAAAGCACAAATTTGAGAAAAGCTTAATAATTATTTTATACTAAAAAAAACTTATTTTCTTTACAAGAATATTATAAAACTTTATCAAAGAAAAAGGTTGGTTTGATTTTGTGTAAGTGAACCGAATTTTTATTTGAATTTAATATTTTTAATTTAAATGCTTACTTACCAAGATTTAGAACGTATTGAATTTGATGCTTATGATAGATTGAACTTGTGATAGATTTATGGATATATAAACTTACAAAATACTCGAAACGAGTAACATTTACTACAGTATATATTGTATCCAACTTATTATTTTGAATCCAGCTTATTATTTTGAAAAAGATTGTATCCAACTTATTATTTTGAAAAAGATTGTTGCTGTTAAGCTGTTTTTATAAATATTTTCAGAGCACTTGGTTTTCATACAAGGAGGCGCGGCCACGCCGATTGAGCTTGTGCGCGGCATGACCGAGCACGGGCTGTGCAACAATCTACGCGGCGTCCGGTTGTTGCACATGAGCCTCGAGGGAGACGCGCCGTTCGCCAATCCGGAACTTGAGAGTACGATATTCGTAGTATTATGACGTGAGTTGTTACCAATGGAATGAGTAACGCATAATCTTACATTCAAGAGCACTTCAGATCCATCAGTCTGTACGTCGGCGCTAATGTCAGGGAGGCGGTGAACGATGGACGAGCGGACTATATCCCGGTGTTCCTGCACGAGGCGCCGAAATTGTTCTACGATAAGAGGCTTGTGCCTGACATCGCGTTGATTCACGTGAGCATGCCGGACGCGCGTGGATTCTGTTCGCTAGGAGTCGGCGCGGATTGCACCCGTGCTGCGGTCTGCACCGCGAAAGTCATCATTGGTTCGTGTCGTGAATTACTTAATAATTATACCATCGTTATATGTGTGAGCCTCTGAAATCCAAACTAATCAACTTTACTTTTGGTAAATTTCTTAATTTTACACATATGATAGTTTGATACTGTGCTTAACTTTTCAAAATTAAGAGACTTATGAAAACTGGAGTCTATTAATTTAGCTTCTGAGACCTTCATATAATACTAAAGTATAAAAATACCATTAAGTAATACAATTAAATAATTTTAAATAATAAAGTGAGAGAGAGTATATATATATATATATATTTTTTTTTTTTAAGGTATAATAAAGTACTCCAACGTTTTACTATTAAGAATTTAAAAAAATATAAAATATTAAAGTAACACATAAAAATAAAAAAAACAATTAATGCTATTTTGTTAATATTTCTTTCGCAGCGCAAGTGAACGAGCACATGCCGAGGACATACGGCGACACGATCATTCATTCGAGTCATTTCGACTTGGCAGTGAGGTACGATTGCCCTCTGCCCTCCGTGGCGAACATGCAACCCAATGATCTCGAGCAGGAGATCGGCAAAATCATCGCGCAACGACTGGTCGAAGACGGTGCGACGTTGCAACTCGGCATAGGCAACATTCCCGACGCGGTGCTACACGCTTTGAAGAACCATAAAGATTTGGGTATACATTCAGAGATACTTGGTGACGCGATGGTCGACCTTGTCGAGCTTGGTACCATTACGAACAAGAATAAGATCAAGCACCGAGGTCGCATGGTTAGTTCGATGGCAGTTGGCACGAAGAAACTGTACGATTTCTTGCACGCCAATCCACTCGTCGGTAACTATAATAACTGGTTTAAACGGGAGGTCTCACACGAGCATCCTCGTTACTGTTCTCGTTGCGATCGTCATGTTAGAGATGCTGGCGATTAATTACGTGAACGACCCTCGAGTGATCTCGATGCAGCCGAAGATGACGGCCATCAATTCCTGCATCGAAATGGACATCACTGGGCAAGTGTGCTCGGACAGTCTGGGCTGTAAGATATACTCCGGCTTCGGAGGCCAGTTGGATTTCATTCAAGGCGCGGCGAAGGGTCAAGACGGCAATGGAAGAGCCATCATTGCTTTCCCCTCGGTCACTAGCAACGGGGAGAGTAAAATACAACCGGTGTTAAAAAGCGGTACGAGACAGTGATTTGATGAACAAAATTTCTGTTGCATTATTAAGGTTCCTATATTAACAGTTGTTACTTGAAACTTGCCATGTAAGATAATCAGATTTAAATGTGAAGTTAATTTAAATAATTCAAATTTTTTTGTTTCAAGTGGGATACTCATATTTGAGTCTAAGCCCGTATTAATCGTTATTTGAAACTTGCCTCAGATGAGATATTAAAATTTAAGTTTAGAATTCGATGAGATTTTAGTTGAATCGCGATTACAGGTATAAAATGTCATATATATTATATAAACAATTGAAGAAAACTTCGATCTAACTCTGAATAAAGAACTGAATATCTCACATGAGATAAATTTCAGGTAACAATTAATTTCAGGTAACTATTAAGGCTCTTTTACCACAGCCATGTTGAATTTGTGACACCAGAAGCGAGGAATGGCATACTGTCATTTTTAAATAAAGATAAATATGGACGAAAGAGCATTTGAGACTGTTTAAGTATACTTATAAAATTGTCGAAAAGGTATTCTTTTTCCCTGACGATTAATAAATAGCCGTATAATAAATAGTGAAATGAGGTATGCAGACAAAACAAACTCATTTTATCATTTCGCCATTTATTATATGACTATTGATCATCAGAGGAAAGGGATACCTTTCGGACAATTTTAACGGGGTCTACAATAGAAATCATAAAGTCGTAAATCGTAGAAATTGACCAATCGCGGTCGATTATTCTTCTCGATCGCGATTGGTCAATTTCTACGACTTCTATTATAGACCCTGTTTTACAAGTGTGCTCAAGCAATCTCAAATGCTTTTTCATCTATATTTATCTTTATTCAGAAATGGCACACAACTTTCATCAGCATGCCATTCCTCGCTTCTGACGTCACAAATCTGACATGGTCGGCGAGCTACAAAAGGAGTCTTAGGCCCGGTTGCGCCAACGTTATTTTGGTTTTAAACGAAATTTTAATATACATATCTGTCTTTATTTATTTAGAAAGAAAGATAAAGATAGATATATGTTTAAAACCAAAATAATGTTGATGCAAGTCAGGTCTTAATGCTAGTTTTAAAGTTAGATCTAAGTTTTCTAAATGAATCACTTTTATGTCACATATTGCATTACATCTGTACTGATAATTCAACTGAAAAACTCACATATAACTTTAAATTCAAATGTATTTTACTTGAGAAAAGTTCCAAGTGAGATATTAGTATTTAAAGACTTAATTACGAGCCTTACAAGCTTGATCAATTCTGACAAATTTGTATCACAGGAGCCGGAGTGGTGGTCACGAGAGCCCACGCGCATTACATAGTCACAGAGCACGGAGTGGCGCAGCTTTACGGCAAAACGTTACGACAAAGGGCGAACGCGCTAATTCAAATCGCGCATCCCGATCACCGAGAATGCCTCGAGAAGGCCGCGTTCGAACGGCTGAAGTCTAATCCAACGAAATATCTGTAACACTCTTGTGACGTGTAAATACAGTGGTCGTGTATGATGTTTTTAAGTCTTGTAGCAAGTGCTAAATGTGCGGACTAATTTGAGTTTCAAGTCGAGGCGACACACTTAACGTCGCATGTTCTGTGAGGCAAGAATAACTTCGTGCTTCTTTCCATACGGCTGTATACTTGTCAATGTTTTATTATTTTTTATACTACAACAAGCTGCAGTACATGCTGTCGATCGAAAATTGACGATTGACTTATAAACAGTATCAAATGGTTTAATCTTTCTCTTTTTCTTTCGAATAAATTTACAAGAGTATAGGCAATTTTATCTCGATAAAAAGAATATTATACAGCAATATCATACATAATATAGGTACCTTATGTATTGCACACAAATGTGTATAAATATCACGTGTTCAGATGAATGTATCTATGAAAAATATGCTACAATAATAGGAACATTCGATGATGCTTATGACTATAGTGCTGTTCTTGATAATTGAAATATCTCATTTCACAAATAAACTGTTAGAAGTCTATACCTTCTGGCAGAGTTCCCTCTTGCCGTCTCTTCTCGACGTTCTCGTAATATTCTGAGAAATCTACGTAAGGCTTAATTCTGGCGTTTCGATCTGTTATTCTGGCGCCAGGAGGATACATATCCGACGTCGTCGTCGTCGAAGTCTCGGTCGTCGACGTGTCGAAGTTGTCGTCGGTGATGCCGGTGCCGGTGCTGGAGAAGTCCTCGTTGTCCGGCATGGTTCTGATCGGTGCGGTCTGCACCACGGGATTGAATCTCACCGATTGACTGGTCGGACTCTTTAGGGCGTGCGGTAGCGGGAAATTGAAGTTTCGTACTAAGAGTGTAATATCGTCTCGTTTGCCCGAAGTCAAGGTGCTCTGGGTATTGCTCATGTTCACGTCATGGTGGATTCTCACAGTCTTATCGACTACCGCTTGAGCGACGCCAGTTAAGGTTGATTGTACTCGGAACTGGAATTGAAAGCAATTACAACATGATAAAATAGCCAGACTTTTAGATTTGTATTAAAGTATCATTTATTGGGCGCGTTCAGCGGAAAAAGCGCTCAGTGAGCGATTATTGGTTATTACTGTTATCCCTAAATCTAGACCAATTACATTGACGAATTGCTCAACTGTTGTGCAACTGTTCAGTTCGCTGAATGCACCCATTGTTATTTAGTTTAAAGGCTAGAGATTATGGCTGCGTTTGTTTTGACGCTTATAACGCACTGAGCATTATTTCATCCTTGTTTCTATCAAATACTAAATAAGGACAAATGATACTTATATGCGTTATAAGCGCTAAAACGAACGCAGCCTATGAAATGAATATTTCATGGGAATATTTCGTGGGAAATGAATATTTTGAAATGCGGCGTTATTTAGCGCTACCGTGCATTATTCTATTCTTGTACATCTAAAGAGTGATAAAGATAGAATGATGCGGCAACATTAGTAGCGTGTTCCCCGAGCACACTTACAATGCGAAAATATCTTAGCCGGAAATAGAGAACATTATTTGAATCATATGCAGTACCTGTTCGACTGTTATTAAAGCTAATTCTTTGTTAACTTGATCGGTGCCAGTGGCTTCTTCCAGCGACTTATACAAGCCACGTGACATAAGCAATAAAAATCTGCAGGATTCATCCAGCTCGATACTGCCGTGGATTTCTGGTTCTGCGATGATGGGTTCCGGCGCGGAAGACGCTAGTTCTTCGAATTCCCTGTATCCTCCTTTCACGAGATAATTTCCGAGGCAACGTGTGTTTTCCTGATTTCCAAGATGAGAACCTTCAATATCATATCGTTCCTATTTACCGAAGTTTTTTTTTAAGATAGGCTGAATAAACAATCGAACATACCTTGTCTAACTGATTCGATGTCTAAGCCTAATTGAGACAATCGCAAGAGCTCGTCCTCGTTTTTCAAATCATGATCCACACTTAATTGCACGACTCTCAATACTTGATTGCTGTCTGTTTTGCACAATAATGCTCTGCTGTCACCGACATTTGCGACGTACAATCGCCCTTTGTAAACTAAAGCAACCACAGCACTGGTTCCAGTAGATAGCTCGCAATTTAGCGTATTCAGCTTGTCAACCTGAAGAATAAACTGTATGAATAACAAATATTGAAGGAATCACATAATTCTAAATATTATACAACTAACCAACTCTGGAAACTTTTGATATGTTTCATAAGAGTTTAGCCCATCAGGAATATCAAATTGTAGACTAGCACGTTCTGCCAATAAATCACCTATTGACTCCATGTATCCTTTTTCAACTGCTATGAATGCTTGTCTGTACAGAGAATAAATATTTAGTGCACAGTTAACAGAATTACTTATTTTTTATATCAATCCTTACCGAAGAACTTCCTTTACTTCTTCATCAGTTGACTTGCCATTCAACTGTCCAAGCAAGATTTCTGCAGCTATTCTTTGCATAGCAAAGTTAGCTGCTTTAGTACCTTCATGGCCATCAAATACACCATAAAGAAATGTGGAGTCATCATATCTGCAGTGAAAACTGCGATCCTCAAATGGATGTTCTTCTTGTCGATATCCATCTTCTCGATAGATCTGATTAGTGGAGAAACCCACTCCTGAAGCATAACATAAAGTAATATTATATAAAATAGTATTATTACGTAAAATAAATATAAAATAGTAAAATATACCGACACACACACACACACATATATATATATATATATATATATATAAAATATATAATTAAAATATATCACTAATAATACTTTAATGTACTTCTTAATATTTGCAAAATAATTAACTTTCCTTTGACAAAATGTCGATATTATTATTAAATATTTAAAATTCCTAGGTTATATTTTATCAAGTTAACAAATTAAAATATACCGGATTGTTTGCAAACTGGTAAATCATCTGTCCAATTGTATTGGCTATCTTGAAAAGGCATCGAAGCTGGATGTTCTGCCCCTGCAGGCATTTTTCTTTATTCTATCTTAACTCATAGTGTTAACAAAATATAACGAAGAGTTTATTTTTAGAGTTTTTATTTTTTAAACTGCATAACTTTATCAAGTGCAATTCGAACGTAATTCCGATCATAAATCAAGCTAGCTGTTACTAAGGGTGCGTTCGGGGAACACGCTATCGCGTTTTTCTATCTTTATCGCTCCTTAATGGCTCTCGTAGCCAGCGCGATGCGCGATGCGACACACGATAAGCGATTAGCGATATCCAATAAGCACACTAGTATTCCGCAAAAACTACGCTCATTGGATATCGCGCGTCGCATATCACATGTCGCGTCGCAAATCGCGCTGGCTGCGAGGCCATAAGCCAGTGGCACACGATGGGTGCTTTCCAGTTTTATGTATTACACAAAACCAGTTTATTGGTTGTATATTATCTTACAAGATATTTTAGATAATATGCGGCCAATAAACTGGTTTTGTGTACGTATGTGTCAAGATGTGTTAAGTAATTGGAAAGCTCCGATGCTTGTTTTCGTGCTGGATTGCTTGCTGGATGGAAATACTCTATTCTGATTGGTGCATTTCCATCCAGCAAGCAATCCAGCATGAAAACAAGCATCGTGTGCCGCTGGATTTAGATATACAACAAGGATAAAATGACACGGTAGCGCTAATAGCGAGCTCTCAGAACCTTTGACTGTATAACCATGGACTGCTAGCGGCGATTCTAACAGTGTGTTCGACTGACCCTGGGTTAATCGCTCCGAGAGCGATCAATGACGTCATAAGTCTCTATTAGCCAATCATAAAATTTATAAGTCTTATTCGACCAATAAACGTAGGCTGAATAATCCAGAGTGGGTTAACCCAGAGCCAGTCGAACATGCTATAACCCTAATAGCACAGATGTCCAGGGGACATCCAGAGGACATCCTGAGGACATTCTGAAGACATTCTTCGTCCTCAGGACGTCCTTAGGACGTCCTCAGGAGATCTTGTGCTGTCTGGGAAGCATTTGTCAACATCTGTAGCGCCGCCAGAACCGACAACGGCAAAAGAAGGAACTCAGTAAAGCAAAACAGAGTTAGCAACGTAAACGCTTCTAATATCCGCGTATTATATGGTGATACGTATTAGAAAGATATTAGTATAGTATAATAGAAGTATAGTAGAGGTAAAAGTAAACATATAATTGAAATATAGTAGAGAAGTAAAAGTAGAAGTAAAAGAATTAGATTTTCTTGAAAACCACAAATACTTTATAACAAAATTAATTATAGAAAATTATGTTAAATTAAATTAAATTAAATTAAATTATGTTAAATTAGATAAGAAATTAGATTAGAAAAAACGATTGCACTATTTATTTTATAATTATCTGTTGATTGTTAGAATAAAAGGAAAGTGTACGGAGTATTTTAGAAGTGTACTTAATCGATCGCAAATGTCGTTTTGTGGATATATCTGTTTATCTTATCGTACTTTGCAAGATTTTTTAGCATACGTTTTCTTGCTCGACGTCACTAAAAAGAGATGGATGGTGCGACTCCTCAGGAGCTTTAAAGATGTCTTATGGCCCGATATTGGACATTATACTGTCTGGGTGATTAATAATAAGATGCAAAACAATCTTAATAATTGTAATTAATAAATTATATTATAAATTGTTTCAGCATATATACCTGAAGAAAGAAAATGCACGATGCATGATGTACAAAAAGTTGTACAAGAATGGTTGCGCCACGCAAGAGATCGCATTATATATAATACGAAACAAAAATAATATAAAAATGTATATTATAAATTAAAAATATTATATATTATTAATTGTAATTATAAAAAATAAATATTAAGAAAATTATTAAAAAATATTCAGATTTATTATTATAACCTAGAAAATTTATAAAAAATCTCCCAAATATGTCTTAAAATATTGTTCTAAAGACGTTTTGAAGACGTCAGAAAAACGTCTTAAAACAATGTCTTAAAGACGTCTTAAATATGACACCTTTAAGACGTCTTAAAAACGTCTTAAAAAAAGTCATATCTTAAAAATGCCAGAAAAACGTCTTAAAACAATGTCTTAAAGACGTCTTAAATATGACGCCTTTAAGACGTTCTAAAAGCGTCTTAAATCGGGATATAAGACATCTTAAAGACGTCATGTATGTAATAATTATAATTGATAATAATAATTAATAATATAATTACTAGGTAAAAAAACCTGTCAAAATAACTAATAATTTTTGACAGATAGGTGAACTCGCAATTTTATTGTAAAATCTGCTTTGCAGTACCCATTGTACTAATATACAATAAAATATAATTTTATATTTACACACAAAATAAATGTGCAATTATCTGTCACTATTTAAATCTAATCTCTAAGGCGTGTTTAGGTTTATGAAAGTTGATACAAATTTAGACAATAACTATTTCTAATAAATTGGTTTTTCTAATTAGAACTGCATTATTTGTTAGTAGAAAACACGAGAACATACATAATTTATGTAGGAAAATATCTTTTATTTGTTTCACAATATAATAGTTTTTACATATATAATAGTTTTTATATATATCTAAAATATGTGAAACATAATGATATGTAGCATACTGTAAGGCACATATTTCTATAAAATTTATTAATTATATTGCTGTGTGTACTATTGTGCGTATTAATTTGTTTTATGATTTAATTAGTAGTAACTCTGCAAGATGTCAGATATATTTCGAAGGCTACATAAAGATTATCGAAATTTACAGCTTCAAAAAGTGCTGTAATAATCATGTGCAAAATTCTGGAACCAGCAATGCTCTGCATACGAAGACACGTATTTATACCCCACTGTCTTAAATTTCTCTTACAATACAACCAGACAAACTTAAACGCTTTGAATAAAAATTCTGCTGGAGCTCGGAAATGTTGCATTATTAATCTGAGAGCGATATTAAACAGTTTCTTCAGAAGGTTTTTGTTTACATTTAACGAATCCATTTCTCTGAGCAATGGAATAAATTCAGTCGTATCTTCGTTGCGCCCGGGGCTAAAGAAGTTTTCCAATAAATTATTTAATATACTCCACAGTTGTGTAGTACGGAAATCGTCTTCAATGTTTTGCGAGCTCGATATGTTGCTTGGATTAGAATTAATAATAGTTCTATCTGATTGTATAAGTTCAACAACAAAGAGTTGAGCATCCAAGAGTGTAATGTCATTAATTACTAATATGCCCCTTTTAATTGCCCACGTGATCATACGGGAGTTAGTATTGTCTGTCGCCCTATTAAAGCCAGAAGTGACAGGAGTGGCAGAAGTAGCAGGATCAGCAGAAGTTTTAGAAATTAGCCGATTACGATGCCTTATGTAGCATATCACTTCGGCTTTTTCGGTCATTGGGCATGAATTATTCGCGGCAGCCCGTCGTTTGACGCGATTAAATTGTTTACGGAGTTGCTTGGTGCGCACGGTTTCCCTGTAGTCATTAAAGATTTTGCTTTGATTATTTTTAATGACATCTCCGGTGAGCTGAATATTTACTACAGTACCGGTAAAGAACATAAGATGCGTCGCCAAGTTTACTGCATCGAGAAAACTAAATGTCTCATCTGTCCTATATCTACTTATGCAATAATACTGATATATAATACCGACGCCATTCAAGAATAAGTTGCTATCTTGCACGGTATTGAATGCTAGTCTTGCGGCAGTGTTTACCGTCATACCGCGTGAGACAGCGGCAGAAATAGCCGCTGTTCCTTCCATTACGCCTAAGCCAAACATTGAACCAGTGATTGTAAGCCACTGTGGAAATGCTTCTTGATCGAGAAGCGGTATCTCGTACTGAGTACCTGTTTCAAAACCAAAAATTGGTGCTAACTTAGGTGCAAACCATTTCGCTGCAAATGCCATAGTTCCAAAGATAGTATTTCCTTTATTAAATAAGTACGCAGGTGACTCCATAATCTCAAGCCAAACTGTTGAATAGTCCTCTGTAATTGGACAGGACGGATCTGCTTGGTATAAGCCATCTTTTGGAAGAACCATTATGCATTTGAAGAGATTTATCTTGTAATCTTTATATACTCTACCAGATGTATCAATATACCATATATATATTTCGTCTGTTTTTAAATTTGTTATTAAATTTTTTATGCATTTGAAGAGATTATTTGTTGTCTTGTAATCTGCCCAATCTTTATATACTCTGCCAGATGTATCAATATATATTTCGTCTGTTTTTATTAAATTTGTTGCTGCTTTTTCTTTCTTTGTAGTATCAGTTTTCTTACTCCTCCAAATTTTAAAAATAGGAATGGGTATTACTACAAAATTTGTATCTTCTTCTTTGAGTTTAGGACATACTACTATATTGTAAATTATAGCAAAATAAATTGGTTTATCAGCATTGACTTTTACTGTATATTCATATATCTTTTCATATATCTTATCTATAATAGTTGTATTTTTATAAACTATTGCATCAGTTATATCTGCATCTTCACTTTGATTTTCTGTATTGCAATAAACATTACTATTTGTTGCATTTTCACCAGTATTTGGTGGGCCATAAAGTGCATATCCAATATTTTGTTTCAAGTATTTGTGTTCGTCAAGTTCATATGTCATGCAATCACAAAGAAGCTCATAGAAACACTGTTGTTGCTCAACAGCAAGATTCTTCATATCTTCCTGGAAAGCAAATAAATAATTAAAAACATAATATTTATTATCAATACATATAAGGGAGAAAGGATATCTTAAATCTTTTAGAATTTTCAAGATATTTAAATATCTAAAGTGGCTATCATTATTATACAATTAAATTTTACAATTAATTATAAATCTTACAAATCAAATTTTTATAATATCAAGAATTTTAAATTTATTGTAACATTTATTAACACTATTAACACAACAGATTACATATATTGAAAGAAAACTTACAAAATCTTGGTCTGTAGTCGTCTCATTGTTTCTAGCCATGTTTGTAAAACCCTTTGGAAGATAAAAGAATGTCAATCTTTTTCTTATCAATAAAGTTTAACAATGATTAGTATAAAATGGTTAGCCATAGATAAAGTCAATAACGATTGATATAATTTAATTTGATTAAAATTTTAGATTTTAGATAAGCTATAGTGTATCATATTTGTTATTATGTTTGTAATGTTTGTTATTTCTTTTGTATTTGTTATCTTTTGACATGAAGATAGCGATTCGTTATTAGATATTTATTGATGCTATCACTCGTATAGACATTTTCTATGTATTTTAAATTACTGCGACATTCATTGTACTGTATATATATGGTTCTCTTGTTGAATGGGATGACGTCATCGTTGACGTCTTAACCTCGTAAACTGACATCTAATGTTCTCGCACTTAGTTTTCAAAAAAGATTGAGCATTTCAGCACTAAGGTCTGGTTGCAAATATTCTTTCTTATTGCGAATATTCTTGACCATCAAATTGGAATTCACTGCCAATTCTAATTGCCATTGCTTTTCTCTACTTGTCATCACGAACAATCGTTTGATGCACTTTGACATGTACTCTTACTTCTATTATTTCAAATAACGTCAAAAGAAAAACGTCAATTTGATTAAAAAAAAAAAAATGTGTAGTTTCTTGTGAATCGAGGCACTGCAATTTTTCAAAGTGTCGCAAAGTGTTATTGTTCCAAATGAGGTAAAAACAAAAGATCTATCTGACAACTTGCTATCAATTTCCGATTATTATCCAATTTATGAGACGTAACGTGAGTAAAAGTAGATTCACGAAGAGTAACTTTAGCCAAATATATATATACATATACACACACATATATTATCGTTAACATATCAGTGCAACCAGTAAAGACTATAAAAGATGATTAGGGAATAACTTATTAATTAATTATTGAATAATTTCGTACTTTTCTGTCTCACGTAATAATCCACCGACGCTGCTTGCGAAGGAATATTTTGTAACAAAACAATCAAGTATCTGTTAATTCGTTAACACTGCAATGATCAACTGATTCGAGTACACGAATAATACATGAACGATGGTAGATACCCGAATAAATGAGATTTTTACATCGCTCAAACTAAGCACATTGGGAATTCCCCGGCTGGCTTTTCCCGAATCTATGTCTTCGTTCATTATGGCTCCTGCACACAGGACGCGGTAATGCTTGCAGCATGAAGTTCACGCGACAGCCAATCAATATGCTGCTTTCCGTAATAACCTTCGAGCTCTTACGGAAAAACAATATATTGATTGGCTGTCGCGGACTTCCGCTGCGCGGAAGCATTACCGCGTCCTGTGTACAGGAGCCATTAAGCCCATATCAGACTACCGACTGCACAAGCCGACCCGACTGCCGACTCTCAATGGATTAATCACAGTAAAGCGCCGACTCGGCATTAGAGCATATATACAGGGTGTCTCACACTCTCCTCCGGGCATTTTGTGGGGACGTACAATGGGTTGATGTGAAAATAAAAGTCCTATACCGTTTTGCGATATTCGCAATAATTATCGAGATATTAATTGTAGAAAATTTGTAAATGATCATAAAGAATATGATAAATGAGTTATAATAGCGACGACTGCCGTCATGTACTTATACTTTAAGTCAAATTGTACAAAAAAGAAGATGAGTGCATTATCACGCAAAATCGTGCAATAATCTTCTTTAATTAATAATTAAAAATCTGTGTGATTATTTGGAAAATGGTAGAGAATTTTTTTGTTCAATTTGACCTAAAGTATAAGTACACGACGGCAGTCGTCGCTACTATAACTCATTTACCATATTCTACATGATCATTTACAAGTTTTCTACAATTAATATCTCGATAATTATTGCGAATATCGCAAAACGGTATAGGACTTTTATGTTCACCTCAACCTGTTCTACGTCCCCACACAATGCCCGGAGGAGAGTGTGAGACACTCTGTATATGGAGGGGGAATTGCGTATGCCTCCTGTAGACCAAAAGGGGAGCGGTGCACTTGGACACGGTGCATTTGGACACAGCCAATCACAGCACCGTGTGATTAGAGACATTTGTAGGGTCCCTTGGAACAACGACTTGTGATTGGACTGTGTCCAATTGCTCCGTGTCCAACTGATATACACCCGACCAAAAGTGCCTCCAAATCTGTGCGAGAGAGAAAGGTATACATTTCTATTTCTCCTCTGTGCGCATGCGCCAACATGCGTCAGTGTTGCTGGACTACAAAATTATTGGTTTCAATATTTTTTTACTTGAATTCTATCAACTTTACCGAAAAATAGCAAGAGATAAAAATTGTTTATTTTCTTCTCATAGAGCTCGGAGAATTTTTTCAGAATTTTGTATTAATTTTTTAGTACTACATTTTCTTGCGTTTTTTTTGAAACACTAGAAAGTTAATACAAAATTAGGAAAAAATTCTCAGAGTTCTATGAGAAGAAAATAAATAACTTTTATTTCCTGTCAACTTTATAACCTGTCAACTTTGGCTGCGTTCCGAAATGCACTGCCAGTACTGAAAATCTATAGTTTATGTTACGTATATTATAGGATTTCAGTACTGGCAGTGAATTTCGGAACGTAGCCTTTATATAACCTGCCAATTTCAACGCATGCGCATAGAGGACGAGTAGGAACGTACAGCTTTCTCTCTCGCACACATTTTGGACACACTTTCGTGCACTTTCGTGCCAGCATTCCCCCTCCATGTATATATGCTCTAAGGAATAGACCAAAGCATTCATAACAGGGAAGTAAAGCTGATTATGGTGAAAGGTCCAGAATAGAAGGACTGTGTACCTATTCGGAAGGAAGGAAGGAAATAAAACTGATTGTTGATAGTTTAAAACAGAGTGAAAAAGTTGGATTGTATATGTTATCAAGAATTTTAATATAGTTGTAACAACTTCTACAATGAGTGAAAATAATAGTGAATTTCCAATAAAGGTAACCTTATACTATCGTCATATAAATTTTTTTGATAAATTTATCGAAAACACACCATGACGTAATGAGTGATTGAAATTTAACCTAAATTTAACTTAAATTTAATTTTTGCTTGTATAGTGTCATTTGCATCAAGTTAGGAAACAGATTTATAGCATAAGGATAAAAAGTAGTTAATTAAAGATCAAGAAAGATGAAGAGAGGATTAGTACATTTGAAAAAATAGAAATAATATGTTATGTAGCCATTTTATTCCACATTTAGGAAGCTCAAAAGACTGACAAGGGCCTTTTTTCTCAACTCTCTTTTACCAATAAAAGAGGGTTTAGAATAAAGATCAAAGCTGCTAAACCTTTAAAAAAAAAACTTCAATTTGCCGAATTATTTAGTTTACTACTATTATATTGGTGATTATTTTTGATATAGAGGTACAGAAAGGAAGAGGAAGAAGAAAGTCCTTTAGATACAGATGATGACTATGTACCATATGTACCTGTTAAGCATCGTAAGAAACAATTGCTCACAAAGTTGGGTAAACTTGGACAATTAAAAGAGGAAGGTACCAGTGCTCTTGGGAAGAGCAGTAGTGAGAATGAGAAAGATGATGCTGATAACGATGATGGACAAGTCTGGGGAAGGAAGTCTAATATCTCTCTTCTAGATCAACACACTGAACTAAAAAAATTGGCTGAAGGTATTAGATTTGATGAGCAAAAAGTAAAAAAATCAGTATAATTCAACTAGGAACTTATGCATGTAAAATACTTTTTATAATATTTTAGCCAAAAAGGAAAGTGCTATGGAAAAGCAGTTAAAAGAGGAAGAAAAAATCTTGGAGAGTGTTGCTGAGAATAAGGCTTTGATGGGTGTAGCTGAATTGGCAAAGGGCATTCAGTACAAAGATCCTATCAAAACTAGTTGGTACCCACCAAGAGCAATACTTCATATGGGAGAAATATGTCATGAACGAGTACGAAGGAAACTTAGGATACTTGTTGAAGGTGATGAGGTACCACCACCTTTAAAGAGTTTTAAGGAAATGAAGTTTCACAGAGGAATCCTGTATGGATTGGAGCAGAAGGGAATTATCAAGCCGACTCCCATTCAAGTCCAAGGAATACCTACAGTGTAGGTTCTTTTTTATATTCACTTATATTCACTATCGCTATACTAAGTAATTATAAAAAAAACAAAGGCAATGCTAACATTAAACAATTGTAGATTGTCTGGTCGTGACATGATTGGTATAGCTTCTACGGGTAGTGGTAAAACATTGGTGTTTGTTTTACCTATTATTGAGTTCTGCCTGGAACAAGAGCTGAATATGCCATTTATCAAAAAGGAAGGACCATATGGTAAATATTCATATAATAATTAATAGATAGAATAATACTTGATCAACATAATCGTACACTGTTATCTTGATATCTTGTGGTTCATAGGCTTGATAATATGTCCTTCGAGAGAATTGGCTAAGCAAACCTACGATATAATTCGGCACTATACCAACAGTTTACGACAAGTAGACTGTCCAGAAATACGTAGCTGTTTGGCGATCGGAGGTGTACCAGTTTCGGAATCGTTAGCGATAATTAACAAGTCAGTATTCATTATTGTTATCCATTATTGTTCGATTCATTCTGTTTGTGTTTTTGATATTCTTTTTTAAGGACTCTGATTAGTTTGTAGGGATAAATTAAAGAAGTTTCTTTGAAATTTTTTATAAAGAGATTATAATAAAATACATTTTTTAACTTTTCAGTATGTTTTTATTGTATTTTGAAGAAGTTATATGATTTTTTCCGTAACTGAAAATTTCATATTAGTTATATGTTTGAGTTATATGAATTTTGTTTTATATGAGTGTGGCTATCGTCTATCGAACTAGATTCATTGAACTAAACTAAAATTTTATGAAATGGAATTAAAAAATTGAACTAAAATTTTATGAAATGGAATTAAAAAATTGAACTAAACTAAAATTTTATGAAATGGAATTAAAAAATTAATTGCGAGTCTAAAATATCAAATCAATAAAAATTAATGTGGCAATTAATGCGGCAATCAACGTATAGACTTATGCGATGTGGTGAAATGTTTGATTTAGTTTCTAGATTGGTACTGCATCCTTCATGCATTCATTTTCGACGTTTCTTGAGCATCTCACTTAATTTCTTGTTCTTTGGACTTTGTCCACGAAGGAAGTCAATCCGCAAACTAAACGAAGCATTTCATTATCGCGCAAATCCATACATTGATTGTCTCAATTGATTTTCATTGATTTGATATTTTAGATTTGCAATTTGTTTTTTAATTTCGCCATTTTGTCAAATTTTGGTGTAGCATAATGATTGTAGTTTAGATGATAGTCACACTCATATAAAATAAGAATCTTATTTGTTTTTTTGTTTCAAGATGACGATTATATATGTAACTTGTTCCTAAGAGTGGAAACGTGAAGAGTGAAAAGCTTGACGTGAACTTGATGATTTTAGCGATAATGTAACTTTTCGAACAATGGAAATGTGAAATTTTTTACGAGAAACTTTTAATTTTTCACGAGTTTATATTGGAAGAAAAATAATCGATATCCTACAAGCGGCTATATTATGCATATTAGCTGGGTAGCGATCGTGTAACTTTCCTCTAAAAGCAGGAACGTGGAAAATGGAAAGTATCATATGAATTCGACGATTTTTGCAATCATATAATTTCTCAAACAATGGAAATATGCAAATTTTCAGTTTCACGAGTTTACGCTAAAAATAAAGATATATAATCGATACTTGGGACATTACGAGACATTTTTCACAAGTTTATACTAAAAAGAAAGATATATAATCGATATTCAGAACATTGCCATGTTGCACGGCAACTTATAATTCGACAAATATGCGAGCTTTAGTTATGAAAAAAATCATATCTTCCTCAGAGCACGATAAAAACATACGGAATAGTTGAAAAAAAAAAAAAAAAAATATATATATATATATATATGTTTTATATATAATTTTTTTGTAAAAAAATTCCCAAGAAACTTTTTCAATTTATGCCTACAAACTACTCAGAACTCTTAATGTGATAATCTGTAACATACGTTCTATGCAACTTATAGAGGAGTACACATAATGGTAGCAACGCCAGGGCGACTGATGGACATGTTGCACAAGAAAATGGTCACCTTGAGTGTGTGCCGTTATCTTTGTATGGACGAAGCGGATCGTATGATCGATATGGGCTTTGAGGAAGATGTGCGAACGATATTTTCTTTCTTTAGGGTGATTATATATTTCTTTGTACTTTGTACGTCGCGAATTTTGAATAAAAAGACTTCAAATATCGCTTATTAAGATAATAACTATTCTATTTAAGATGAAAACTATTCAGTACTTATTTCTTATTGCAGGGTCAAAGGCAGACGCTATTGTTTTCTGCTACCATGCCAAAGAGAATTCAGAATTTCGCTCGTTCGGCTTTGGTGAAACCTGTGACTATAAACGTCGGACGTGCTGGCGCTGCTTCGATGAACGTGATACAGGAAGTTGAGTATGTTAAGCAAGAGGCTAAAATAGTCTACCTCTTGGAATGCCTTCAAAAGACCACGCCACCAGTATTAATATTCGCGGAGAAGAAGCGCGACGTGGATGCTATCCACGAATATTTGCTCATCAAAGGAGTGGAAGCTGTTGCGATACATGGAGGCATAGGTACATTATATTTTGAAGCAGTGGGATTGCTAATAAATTTTATTAGCATTTCAGGATTAAAATATCGTGTAAATAAATTAAATATTTATAATGTGGGGCATTTATTCTCTCATTTATTTATTCTAGCACGTATATGATACAAACATTATTACTTACAGATCAGGAAGAGAGATCACGTTCCGTCGAAGCATTTCGCGGAGGTCGGAAGGACGTCCTGGTTGCTACAGATGTTGCGTCCAAAGGTCTCGATTTTGCTGATGTGCAACACGTAATTAATTATGATATGCCGGATGATGTGGAGAATTACGGTAATATATCGCGATTTATTATACAATTTAAGTTATTGTATCAGAAGAATCGAATGTTAACTTACTTCTCTTAATGTAGTTCACAGGATAGGACGTACTGGTCGTTCCGGACGTACCGGCATCGCGACGACTTTCATTAACAAGGCGAATGACGAATCAGTGTTGCTTGACCTCAAACATCTGTTGATGGAGGCGAAGCAGAAGGTGCCGCCGTTCTTGTTGGAACTTTGCTCGGAGAACGAAAAGTACCTCAATCTGGGAGGTAAGACTATTAATAATTACAATACATCTGTCTCCTTTCTTAGACAGCGTTCGTTCTTTGTTTCACTATGACTTACATTCATCTGCAAATTTTAAGATATGGAGATTTATATTTTCTTTTCGTTTTACAGACGAGCGTGGTTGCAGTTATTGCGGCGGTCTTGGTCACAGAATCACAGAGTGCCCGAAGCTGGAAGCCGTGCAGAATAAGCAAGCGTCAAATATCGGGCGTCGCGATTATCTGGCTAGCAATGCGGCGGATTACTAAATGTTAAGATATTTTTTAGATAAGTACGTATTAATTGTACATATGTATATATAAAAATCTATTTGTACTTATTAAATCGTATGCTACAGGAACAAAATATACATGATGAAATAAGAGATTTTGTAAAATTGTAAACGATATTCTGTTGTGTTTGTTATGTTTGTGGAGTAATTATGCGGAGAATTGGTAGACAAGCGCAAATACCCACAATTTCGCCAACTTCAGGGACTCGTTTATTTCAATGAAGAGATACAGTCGCGAAACAAAAGCTGCGTCATCTGTCACACGTGACTCCCTCACATGCTAAGTTGCACGAACTCTCCAGGCCTATCATAATTCAAAATTCTCCTGCACAATGACGAATCCATTTACCCGGCTTTAGTCTGATACCGGGCGCACTGCCTAGGATGAATTTTTTAGAATTGCAAGTTTCCGCAACATGAAAAGATATCGAATCAGTCATCTGAGCGCCGACCAAACGAATTTATTCTTCAGAAACTTCACAAAGTACACTTTCACGAGGTTTTTACGTTCTTCTTTAAGTCATCTGGCCAATTACCGTTTACAGTTATCTTTCCCGATAGCTTTAAACGATCACTTACGTGATAACGGCGATGAATGTTTGTACACGTTATTAATGAATTATTTCTTGCATGTCAAGAGTCACTTAGTGCCAAGGACGATCTGCGATGGCGAGTCGGAGATCGCGAGTCGGTGCGCCCGCTCTCACGAGGACGCAAGCGTTACGTCAGGCGAGAAGCGCTGCTCTAGTGAAGGAATATGAACAGAAGAGGGAAACAAGGCCGCAGCAAGTGGCAGAACCTGTCACTAGGCGCAGGCATGTTGTCGCCGAGCAGAAGAAGGTCGATTTCAGCAGGCCGACCATGACGAAGGCGATGATGGCGCGGGTAAAGCACGCGGAGAAGTTCAAGCAGGAGTACGAGCGTAAGCGGGAGGAGGCGGTACCCGCGCGTAGAATACCGAGAAGAACAGTCGCTCCGATCGGCGGTGATGTCAGGTCGGTGATCTTTCTAAGAATCACTTGGCTCTTGTACTAATCACTGCTCAAGCGACTGTGAATTCATTATATTTGTTAAACGATGTATCTCGAAATTTGTGCAACTTCAAATCGACCATGTAGCGCAAATTTCGCGAGAATCCGACTTCAAGATCTGGTTTGGTAACGAGCGAAATTGGATCCGCATGTAGATTCGGTACAGAAAGAGTCGCGAGGCGCGCCCCGACCCCATCGCCGTCGACATCGCCTTTCAGAGCGCCGAGAAGGCTCACGCCGTCGCCGGCCAGAAGAATAGCGGAATTGCCGTCCATACCGGAGAGGACCAGGGAACTGGCGAGGTCCATGAACGCTCAAGTGATCCAAGCTGAGCCGGTTGGCGAAGGTCCGATCGACAGTATCGTAATACCGCCGCGGGTGGTGGATGAAAATCGCACCACGATTGTCAGCATCCCCCAACCGCCCGTAAGAGCCGCCGAGGCGGTGTCCGAAGTGGCTAACCGCTCGATCCAGGTGATCAGGTTGGTGACACTCTGCTGACAAATGGACGGACGAAGGCGGAGCGGAAAGAATTCATCTGCGTGAAGCTGCCTGGATGAATTCTAAGATTTTTATCCCGAATTCTTTTTTATCGATAAAAGTGTCTTCAACTTTGCTTATAAATTAACCAGAAGACTTATGTGTCACATAAGTCATAAATTTATGACTTATAAGTCACATTTAGAGGCAATTTCGGTGAAAAAAGTTCAAGATAAGGATCTAAAGCTTTTCAAGAATAAACTTCTGCGAATTAGATCTTAAACTTCTGATTGTTCCAACGCAAGCGTCCAAAATAATTGTTGATTTTGTTATTTGTCGAATTATTGTTCGAATTATTCGTCCGAATATTGGGAATATTTGTCGAATATTAAGTAGCTCTTATCGTTATTATTAATAATGCGATGTTAATGGCTTGTTGATCGCGAGTGTCATTTGGTAGCGAGACCCTCGACGAGCAAGATGCGGCGGAATCTGCTACGGTACAGGGCAAGTTGGAGGATTTGCAGCAGGCGAGGCGCGACTTTGTGATGGCCGTAGCGAATGTCGGTGGTAACGCCGTGCAGCTCGGGGATGAAGAGAGACCTACACAGAGGTATATACACAGGTAAGAATTATCAGTTATAGAATGATGGCGCATCAAGTAACACTTGTTAGGTAAGAGGCATGAGGAGAATCTCTTCGGAGAAATCTCATTGTTGCTCTTAAAAGAACCAAAATCTTTTTCATTGATTGTCTACATCTAACACAGAGTCCCCGATATCGAGGGAGAGATGTTCCGTGTCGAGTACGGCAGAGATCATCCGAGCGTCGTAGCGGCACGCGAATTCGCTCAGCGAAGTATGGCCGGTGTAAGGGAGAGAGAGGCGGCTCGCAAAGTCGAAGAGGAGTTCACAAGATTAGCTAGGCAACCTTTGCCGGAGGACTTGCGCTTCGACATGCCCTTCGAGGAGGATTTCCTCCAGGAGGACTTACCGTGGGAAGAGGCCGAGGAGTTCGATCTATCGCGTCCTACCAAGATAACGGATATACCGGTGCGCGAAGAGTCTTACGATTATCCTACCTTCGACCCGGAGCAGCTCGAGAGATTCTTCGACGTGGAACGGTACCCGCCTAGCCCACGTATCAGGCCACCACCCGGTCGTGAGCATCTACATCCGGATCTGTGGGAACTGGAGGATCCTTGGGCCGCGTGTGAGCAGTGTTCGCGGCCAGACGTATCCGATCTCATCCGCTTCGACAGTCCTTGATCATTCATCCTTTAACTTAGTCATGTTTCCGAGATGCAGAATGTTGAAGAAAAGAGACTCGATCTCATTCGAGCACGACAAGCAGAAACCGACTACGAGCAATTTTGTGAAAAAACGAACAAAGGAAAAATTATTCAATAAAGCCAGAAGAGTAAGGACCATCGCGTGTTCTGTTATTACTGTCGTACTTACGTCATTACCCTCATTACTCTATACAGAGAGTGTTATGAGGCGTTACCATGGTGCCTTCATTACATTGCGCTATGCCATACTTCTTATGTGTAAATAATAAATGTGTAAACGTTATTCTCTGTAGGAATAACGAACAAGCGCTACTTGAGAAAAGTGGCTGTCTCGTCGGACAGCCACGTTCTAATATCAACGAAATGGCAGAGCGATATTGACGAGCGTATATCCTAACATCCTATGATTTCGCATTTTTTACAACAGGTGCAATTCGCGTGCTTTGCAGTCGGTCGCATGCGTTGCACATGTGCCATTAATGTCATAGTTGTTCGGACGGAAAAATACATCCGGATCATGCTAGAGCACTTTATGAGAGAATACAATATCAACCGGGTATTTTTGTCGCGCGTAGGTCTTTGGCCGTTTCAAAGTAAACGCGCGAGAACTCTGCTGCCGACTTTGTGCCTCTTGCTCGAGATAAGTTTCTGTCGGTCTGAGGTAATAATAGACGTTGGTCGGTACATTTTAATTCGAAGATAATTAACTGTGTCTCGAAGAGTTAGTGTGTTTAATGAGAAAAAAAAGATAGTAAAGAAAAAAAAAGATAGGAGTAGCAAGAGTTTAGTTGATTCAACAAGTGTGACATCCTTGTATTCAGAGTGGTTCATTTTAATTTATCCACTGAAATATCTCAAAACCCGTAAGTTTTAGAAGAAAACTTTCCAGACAAAAACTGTGCGACTTTGAGAGGAAAAAAAGTAATATTTATTTCACCTTGGAATGATCTTGGTAGAAATCTTGGCGAAGTTAACTATATTGTTTAAATGGATCATATGACTTTTATAACATAAATTGATTCCTCTGGTTATTTTGCCTATAAAAGTGCTGAAGAATAAAATCGCCGAAAAGTATATTTTTTGAGATATTTTATATTTTATTTTAAAACTTTTCAGAATAAAATATATATATATATATATATATATATATATATATATATATATATATATATATCCTGAAATATGAAATATCTATTTGCTGAAGTATTTATTTTTCGATAACCTCATCTTTTTATACTTTTTGTACGTGGAACGTCGGATAAAATCGATTATTACAAGAAAGCCAAGAAAGAAATTTTAAACAAAGTTTCGTTGTATTTTGCAGATTCATTGATGTATGCAAAGATTAGTATCATCGATTGATTTCTCTCGTCATTCTATGTACAAAAATATTGAGGTGAGGAGGTCGAAAAGTAAATAGTTCATAAGATATTACATATTTTATATGATGATTTTATGTGTGTGTGAAGCTAGCGTCTCACTTTGTGGAAACTCACAAACTATTAAGATTTCTGGCTTCCTTTTTGATAATTCTAGAGTTCCTAATATATTAAACAAATAGTTCTGCACATTAAAGCAGAAAATATCAGTCCGGACAAACTGAGACGCCAGGTTCACGCTGCGTCTCACTTTGTCCTGCACATGTTTCCTTGATATTTGCAAGATTAATTCAAGATTTTAAAAGATTTAAAGTTGTACGAGAGTTCTAGAAAGAGTTCTAGCAATAAACATAAGTTTTTCAATATTTAAATAATTTTTATATCGAAGAAAATATTTTTACAGCACCATACGTGAGACGTTGGTAGAAATTTCAGAGTTCTGGTTTACCTGAAATATTTTTCTCATAGTTCTGAGCATACTTAAAAGTTTTCTAAAGAGTTCTAGGCACTGGTAATGTTGTACGATTTTTAAATAAATAAATACTGCCCGCGGACAGCATACTCAAAGAGAATGGTGTGAGACGCTGGTCGAAATCTCAGAGTTCTCGTTTATTTGAAATATTTTCTTTACAGTTCTAAGCATATTTAAGTGTTTAATAAATAAATGCTGCCCGCGGACGGCGTACTCCGATAGAATTACGAGAACTCTGAGATTTCGACCAGCGTCTCATATCATTCTATCGGAGCACGCCGTGCGCGGGCAGCATTTATTTATTTAAAAATCGTACAACATTGCCACTGCCTAGAACTCTTTGAAAAACACTTAAATATGCTTAGAACTGTAAGAAAACTATTTCAAATAAACGAGAACTCTGAGATTTCGACCAGCGTGTCATATCATTCTATCAGAGTACGCCGTCCGCGAGCAGCATTTATTTATTTAAAAATCGTACAACATTGCCTAGAACTCTTTGGAAAACACTTAAATATGCTTAGAACTGTAAGGAAAATATTTCAAATAAACGAGAACTCTGAGATTTCGACCAGCGTCTCACACCATTCTCTCTGAGTATACTGTCCGCGGGCAGTATTTATTTATTTAAAAATTGTACAACATTGCCAGTGTATAGAACTCTTTAGAAAACTTTTAAGTATGTTCAGAACTATGAAAAAAATATTTCAGATAAACCAGAACTCTGAAATTTCTACCAGCGTCTCACGTATGGTGCTGTAAAAATATTTTCTTCGATATAAAAATTATTTAAATATTGAAAAACTTATGTTTATTGCTAGAACTCTTTCTAGAACTCTCGTACAATTTTAAATCTTTTAAAATCTTGCATTAAATATCAAGGAAACATGTGCAAGACAAAGTGAGACGCAGCGTGAACCTGGCGTCTCAGTTTGTCTGGACTGATTTTTTCTGCTTTAATGTGCAGAACTATTTGTTTAATATATTAGGAACTCTAGAACTATCAAAAAAGAAGCTAGAACTCTTAATAGTTTGTGAGTTTCCACAAAGTGAGACGCCAGCTTCACACACCCTGATTTTATCCGAGCACATTTATACATAGAATAACCAGAGGAATTGACTTATGTTAAAACCATATAATTCCTTTTAAAAAGTTAAAATTAATCTTTACAGAGAGTTTCTCAAAATTATTCTAAGATCAAATAAATATTACTATTATTTTCTCCTCTTGAAATCTTTACAACTTTTGTTTACAAAGCTTCTTTCTTAAATTTACAGATTTTGAGATATTTCAAAAGATAAATTAAAATGAGCTATCTTGTATAATTGATCGTACAATAATTTTCGGGTATATTTATCTATAATATATTTTACGGATGATGATAAATGTTACATGTAGATATTAATATTATACGGTCATATGGACGATGCGCAAATGATTTTTGAAAGTTGTTATCAATTCACTCTGACGATCGCTTTTATCACAAGAATACTGAGCCAACTTTGGAACCATGACAAGGTCAGTTTTTAGAATTACAATGTGCGTTACCTACCTTTTCTGAGTACAATTATTTCGTTGAAATTGTCTCACATATAAAATATCCCAGAACAACCTTCAAAGTTTTCGTGGAGTTCTCGCAGAGAACAGATTGAGGTGAACATAAAAATTCCATGCCGTTTTATGATATTCGCAATAATTATCGAAATATTAATTAAAGAAGATTTGTGAATGATCACGTGGGATATGGTAGATGACGTCGTCTGCCATTGTGTACTTATACATTAAGTTAAACTGAACAAAAAAGTTCTCTACCATTTTCTTAATAACTTGTAGATTTTTAATTATTAAAGAAGACTAGCGGATGGTCGCTCGCGACAATATATTAATGTTATCTAATTGATAACTAAAAGTTTATAAAGTTATTCCCAATAAAAAATTTTTCATATATAATTATGTAAAATTATATAAAATTATATATAATTTTACATTATTATATATAATTATATATGAAATTTGTCTATATATGTTAATATATGTAATTATATGTATAACTATACATAATTGTGTATAATTATAATTATAATTATATAATTTTATATGATTGTATATAATTATACATAATTATGTATGGACAAATTTTATATATTATGCATGAAAAATGTTTTATCGGATTAAAAACAGGAAAAAGGTAGAGGACTTTTTTGTTTAGTTTGATCTTATGTACAAGCACACGACGGCAGATGTTGCCATTATATCATTTCATCCACCATATCTCGCGTAATCATTCACAAATCTTTTTGAATTAATGTCTCGATAATTATTACGAATATCACAAAGTTGTATAAGACTTTTATGTTTACCTTAATCTGTACCCTTATAGAAATATCATACTAAGAATCATTGATAATTACTTATTATCCAGTATTTTTAATACTAAAAATAAGTAATTATCAATGATTCTTAGTATGATATTTCTATAAGGGTATTATGTCTCCACAAAAGCTTCGAAGGCTGTTACGGGACATCCTATATAATGTGCTCAATCATCTCGCGTTTTCTTGCTTGCTGCGATCAGTTGTTGCGGTTGTATGAAGCTATCGACCACCACTGGAACATATTTACCAGCGATATAGAGGTTCGCATTTTGAAAGATTATTCTCTGATGTCGCGAAAGTTTACGATAGTTTATTCGAGTAAGTATGTTGTATCGCGACAATTATATATCTTTATTGTCTATTATAGAACATTGTAGATGAAACATCCCAGATAACAGAGAATTCAAAAAGAATTCGAAAAGAATTCAGTCATATGTCACCAATTCTGAGTTCATTTTCAGATGCAAAAAGAATTCTTCAGAGTTCAGTTCAGTGAAAAGAAGTCTTTTTGCATCTAAAAATGAACTCAGAATTGGTGACATACGACTGGATTTTTTTCGAATTTTCTGTGCTATCTGGGATCTCTCTTTCTCTCACACACACACGCACATATACGTACATACTATTATTCTTATCCTTATTCTCACTCTTCCTCTCGCTCTCTCTTTTTCTGTTACAGCGTTAATGTACTCGATGTCGTCGTTTTTCATTATAATCCCGTTAACACCGGCGTTCTTGGATATCATACTACCGCTTAATGAATCCCGTCCGCGAATCTTCGTGGTTGAAGTTGAATTCGGTGTTGACAAAAATCAGTATTTTGTACCAATTTTCATTTATATTACCGCTGTAATTATTGTAGGTGTAAGCATTATGGTGGGTGTCGATACCATGCATATCATGTGCACCGCTCACGCTTGCAGTTTATTTTCGGTGGTTGGGTAGGTACGCCGCAAGTACTATCTAAACAGCACGAATCATTAAAAGATGTCTAAAAGAAATAAGATATTCTTTAGAATTTTGTAGACATCTTTTAGTAGTTTGAGCTGTCTGGAATAATTATTATAATTTTCATTTTTTTACAACGCGAAAATATGATGTGTATATGCGTGTTTCACAATAGAATTTTGTATAATTCGGAACTTATCTACAATTGTCGGAGATTTGTGGGAAGAGAATCATTTATATTAATATTTTAATAAATATTAATATTCACGACTGATGATTTCATTTATCAGAATATCTATAACACACATTACATACATATCGCGTATATTTAATTTTTATTCTCGCGATATATTATATAACTCGCGTTTTGCAGGCAACAGATTGAAAACATACTCAAAATGGATGACAGCAAGGGAATCGACAAATGTGGTTTGAATACAAAAGTGGAATCGTCGAGAGAGGAAATGTTGTATCGGAAATACATCGTGTGTTTGAAGAAACATCAGCTCGCTATTGAGTAACTATTTTTCCTCAAGCCGTATCTCAATCATATTATTGTCCACAGAAGATGTATAAAGTTGGTACATTATTCTGCTGTCTGCATTTAAAGGCCACTAACAATATTATTGTTCTTTAGGTTTGCCGACACATTGAACTCGTCGTATCAAATGCTCTCAATGTTCTTATTGTTTTTGATTATCGCTGTTTTAAGTCTTATTGGAATCCGAGTAAGCACTAAAATAATCATTCACACAAGTTTCGTAGAATATGAACATACGAGATGAGAGAAAGTGGTAAATAAAGGGACGATAGATATTCAATGTTTGCAATTTTTTCCAGTGTTGACGATAAGTTGAAATTTGTGAAAAGAAATATTTCGATTCAAGTAAGAGAAATATTATTGACTTTTGTATGTGTGCCGTAAAATTAATACCTCTCGTCTCATCGTGATATTATTTTACGAGGATTTTGCAAACAATAATTATAATTGTGTCTCTCTAATATGATTATGATTTTTTTTATTTCTACTATAGATCGTCTATGTATTGGATCAGCTAGAAGAAATAATAAGATTCACGTTTATAATTGTGGGAGCATTGATGCAATTAATGATCGTGTGTTACTCCGGTCAGAAATTAATGGACGAGAGCCAGAATATATTTCATCGAGCGTAATAATTATTTCATATTCTCGCATACACACACACACACACACATGCACGCATACAATATATACACGTAACATTAACGCATATGAAACGATTTTCGTTGATATCATGCGCCGAAAATCTCACTATATATAAGCACGCATCTGAGAATTCTACTGAAAAATTTTTATTGAGATCTAAAATGAGATTTTTGAAAAATTCTCTATATGAGATCTCAATTATTTCATATGATATCTTAATTGAGATATCATATGAGAGTAAATAATGATATCAATTAAGATAATTTATGTGAAAAAAGAAAAGCTTTCTTTTTTTAAATTTTTAGATTATATTATAAATATTATATTACAATATTATAAATATTATATTACATTATATTATAAGTATTATATTACAATATTATATTATTGTATTATATTATATTATATTACAGTAACATATACACATTTGATATTTATAATATAATCTAAACATTGAAAAAGAGAAAGCTTTTTTATTTGTCACATGATATCTCAATTTTATTACTTTCCATATTGAGATATTATTACTTACTTTCATTACTTTCCATATATCTCAATTGAGATATCATATGAAATAATTGAGACCTCATATAGAAAATTTTTTGAAAATCTTATTTTAGATCTCAATAGAAATTTTTTTATAGATATAACTCTTGTACATAAACCCTAATATTCAGTTCCGACTCAAGATATATTAAAATGAACTCAATTAAAAAATGTATCACTTGCAAGTAAAATTTTAATTCATCAAGCTGCCTTGTACTCACCATTGCACACGAGTCGCGCGTCATTTGAGAGAGACGATTTTATATAATTCTCTACTTAGACGTAATCCCTCCAGGAAATTCAATCAAGGCCAAATTTTCAACCTGTGTTTTCAGATACATGGCGGAATGGTATAAATCGTCACCTAGAATAAAGTCTCTGCTGATTATAACTTTTTACAGAAGCATCGTGCCGTGTTACTTATCGGCAGGTAATATGTTTCAGTTGACAATGGCTACTTACACCACGGTAAGTATCGGCAGAAAGCTGAAAATTAATTTTGTAACACAACAAAGCTGCTTCTCAACCGCCTGTATTCGATTCAAGGTGGTGCGGATGGGTATGTCTTACTTTACAGCGTTCTTATCGTTCAAAGAGTGATTACCGAATATTCGATTAATGGTCACACGGATACATCTTCGATTGATCGATCTCATCGTCAATTGCAGCATGGAAATTTACCTGAATGCTTTTGATGTAATTTGAACTTATGTCCGATCGATCACCGTTTCCGCGCGCTTACAGAACCTTGTGATACGCTATAATCATCCTTTATCTGACACACGTCTGTTATATAAAAGCAATTTCGCTTCGCCCCATCTCGGTAACTATGAAACTTGATAAGTGAGAATAATGACACAATGATCGATCGAAATGTTCGCTCTGTTAGCCGTAGGATCGCATATTCCCATCTGGCCGTGACGTGTCATTGTGATCTCTGCATGATATTGTTCTTTCGCAATATCCGTGAGGTAAAAATACCAATGACATACCTGGACACATCCACAGCAAAAAATATTTCTGAAACATTTCAACTATAGATTATAGTATTCCTGAAAAATATTCCTGCAAGGCTTATAATATGTAATATGTTGCAATATTATAATATTCCTAATATTGCAATCTTTTAGCAATATTTTGTGCTGTAAGATACTTAAGGCTTTCGAGTATTTGTCGCGGCTATGTTGGTTTTTGTGACGTCAGAAGCGAGAAAATACGTGCAACAAATTCTTGCAAAATATGTACAGATGTGAAAAGATGTGTCCACAGAATAACACTTGTAATCGATCGAGCAGATTTATAAAATAATCCGGATACTTTCCTTTTGTAATCAACAAATAGCCATTAAATTAACAAAATCATGAGGAAAGATAAGTTAGAAAGGTAGTCTGGCTTTTAATTTGATAGAAATTCTTGATTGTTAAAGTAAAAAAAGAAAAGCATTAGATTATTTTACATATGTGCCTGATCGAAGTGTTATTTTATAGATATATGTTGGGTTTGATGGGTGCAATTTTATAAATATATTTTATAAATTTTTTTATTATTTTTACATATTTTGCAAGAATATTTATCGTGTATTTTCTCACCTCTGACGTCATCAATCGAGATTTCCGCGGCGAGGAGCCAGGAGCTTTAAATATGAATATTTTAACTTTAGAATTAGAATATATGCACATATATGTTAGGATTGGGTAAGTTAATTTTTCTTTAAACTAACTTGAAAGTTAACATTACATTAACTTATTAAAGTTAAAAGTTAATTATACAAAGCAATATATATATATGTTTCTGCATAATTAACTTGTAATCGAAGATTAAATTAAATTTGTGAAAAATCTTTAATAAAAAGGTAGACTTTAATAAAAAAGAAAAATACAGACTGTTTCGTGTATATGATTCTATATAAGAAAAGGATACCCTGGCGTTCAGAAAAACAAAAAATTCTTCTGTTATTATTTTGTCTTATTTTTCTTATTTTACACTGTTAGCAGCTTGCAATAATTTAATTATTGACAGATTATTTTAATTTATATGTAAAAAGTTAATGATTTCAAATCATTTTAAAATAACTAATTTAAATAAAAAATTTACTCATTTAAAATTAACTAAATTAAGTTAAAAGTTATTAATTTTTCAATGTTTTAATTTAACTTTTAACTGATTAACTACATACAGAGAAATACATGCTGTATTTAAGTAGATGTTATTTGTTTAAAATATTTTATAAGTTTATATCCGTAATTCTATTGTAATTTCATTACAAACATTAAATTTACTCAAAATACATTTTGAATTTTGATAAGTTTAGTATTTATATTATATTTATATTATATTATATTAGTATTTCAAGAAGAATGAAGAGTAAATTACAAGAAAAACTCGGTTTGTTTACTAACAGAGTCGAATTAATTTCTTCTTAAATAGAATTTTATAATATTTTTGTAAGAGAAGAATAAATTCTTTTTTTAAGTACATGATAACATGTTCTTTTAAAATTTTAAGTACATGATAACATGTTCTTTTAAAATTTATGATGTGTATATTTTAAGATCATTACCAATAAAATATTCTTTGTTGAAAATAATCATTATTTAAAAGAAGAAAAGTAAACTGCAATTAATTGCTGTAACTGTAAATAATTGCTTTTCTTCTTCTCTTAACAGTGGAATGATATTTTTCTGCGTGTAGTCATTTCTTTTTCACGCAACCCTAGTATACATATATTCTATATTGAAAGTTCAAATATTTATATTTAACGACCAAGACAATAAGAGTGTCCAGAGTTAGATAGTACCAAGGCATTAGTACTTTGATTTTAAGTTTTATCAAAAAATGGACTCACGACATACAAGATCACACCAACGTCGACCCTCCATTTTCGCGCTCTCCGAAATTTCCTTTCCTCCTTGCTCTTCCACTCCCGCCATTCGCCGTTCAAAGCTCACTTCACTTCGGTCACGGCGGGAGCGGCAAAATGTGAATAAATCAACGGATTTACTCAGAGCTATATCGCGCTCGGCGTGATATTTTCGCGGCTCATTTCTCCGATCTCTCATGATTCAGCGGCCGAACGTGCACTTACCTCATATTAAATGCAAATAAGAAAGAAAACGCTGGAAAGAAGAACTATGACCCAGCGTCGCGCGACTTCGGCTAACAATGGTTTGCGCGCGCACGATTCATGGCGGCCGCGAGTCGTCGTACGGAATCGTTCGTGTGCAGGCGACGACAGTTCCTCAGCTTTCTCGGCGGATAATCGTCGTTCGAGCGTCGGCCCGCAGCAGTCGTGAGAGTGGTCCTCGCGCGCGACCAGCCGTAGGGTTCCAGGGCCCGGTTTTATCTCCCCGAATCGTACCAAACAGCCGGCAAGACGAAGCTCAAAATGCCACTGGTGAGTCTGTCCTTCGCTCTCTCTCTTTCTCGCGTTCAACCGTCCGCGTTTCTTCCCTGGCTGGCTGCTGCCGCTGCTTGCTCGCTCGCTTGTCTGGCTGTCATCCAGCTCTACCGAGAACGCTTCTGATCTTTGCTTCCGTTTTGGAGACCCGTATCTGGAGAATGCCTCTCGTGTTCGTCGACTTGGAGTTAGCACGATAAGCGATTGTGCGCGAAACGAGCGAGAATGCGACTGCCCGTCTTCGCGATTTTCGAGGTGAGACCTGGGTGCGGTTTTGTGGTTATCTACGGCACAGCTGAAAACGAGAGGAAATTTGGCCGCCAGAGCGACGAAATTCGAAGCTGAAGCGTCATTGTCGGATTTCTTTTTGTGTACAGTTTATTTAAGTGGCTTGCTGGAAGTGTAGCTTAAAGGGGTCAGTGATGTGGTGAGAAAGTGTGTCAGTGTACACCAGCTGACATGGCAGTGTCAAATAATGCTGTTTCAGCAATTTTTTATATGAACAGTGATAAGCAATGTGTTATCTGTTACTTATTGACTGTTAGGAACTGCGTAGTATATATAGGAACTTGGAAGAGAATCAAGTTTTAGTAGTATAAAATGTAGACTCGGTGATATGCTTTGGAGATAATGGAGACTATAATCAGTCACACATCTTTTCAGGGCAATCACGCTGCCCTGGAGGACATGGCGGCGGGACGGGGGCAAGCGGGTGGAGGGCCTCCTCCAAATTGTCAGAAAGTTTTTATACAACGTGACTACAGCGAAGGCACTATGGTTAAGTTCCAAACACGGTTTCCAACGGAACTGGAAAGTAGAGTGAGTATTACGATTGTTGGAATAATCTAGTTAATCTGATATTATTTTATCTCTTTTTGAATGTAGTACTGATTAGATTAATGAAACCAGAGTTGCGTTATAGATTTTAAGATTACGTCTAGATAGATTGCTTGTGGATTGTCTGCTACATATTATTGCTGTATACACAGTTTTTTTCATGTAGACAATATGAATTATGTTTAACCCATAAAAGGTATCATGCCTTTTAAGTCAAGCTATGAATACCATAGGGTCTGGCAGACCCCAATAAATTTTTGCCATTTTTAACATGATAATAAAAGATAGGAAGAAAAACGCTTTAGTTTTAAAGCGTTATAGTTCGAAAATAATAATTTACTAGTATTATATTATAACTAGACATTTATAATAACAGCCTCAGTTTTTCAGTACTCTAAAAAAAAAACATAAACTGAATATAAATTGAATACAATGTGGACAGTGTTGAAATAAAATAAAATACACTGAAAAACAAATAATTGGAGAAAAAAAAATACATGTTTTAATCTAAGTCCACAGGTCATAGATTATATAAAAAACATAAGCAGGTATTGTTAAATTAAACATAACATTAAAATCTAGATGCAATCGTTAAAAATAGTGTTTGCACATTTGGTGCATACTGGTTTATTGCATCTTACACATACTACTTTGGTCTTCATATCTTTATCTATAGGACATTTATTGCATCTTACTTTGGGTGGCAAAATAATGTTAGATCTTTCAGTCTCTTCAATTTTTAAAATAGATGAAATTATTAAACGCAATGGCTTATGAATATAGTATTGAGTTGTAAGAAGTTTCTTAAATTCAGGTTCTACTAACTGAAAGGCAAGAGCTTTTACTCTTTTGTGTGAAGAATGAGTCATATTGAGCTGAAGATTAAAAAAATTATTTTCATAAAAGTTACATTAACTAACGAAGTTAACTCATGGGGTGACTGTGACCCCAGACAAAAAACAAATCCATATAATTCATAGCTACTTACAAATAACTTGACGATCTTTTTTTTGTCATACTGAAAATTGCTACTTGAAAGATACTGAAGATATCAGCGTCACACAGTAAATAACTTGGGAATTATAACGAAAATAAAATTAATTGGGATCTCTGGGACTTCATGGTACCTGTTACAGGTTAAGTGATTCTGACATATTCAATGACTATTTTTTATGTTTAATATATGACTATGACTTCGAATATAATACATATATGACTTTAGATATGATGTAGAAATCCTATAAAAATATAATTTAGAGAATATTCTAACTTATATATTAAAATATATATTCAATATTAAATAAATATTAAATATAAAATATAAAATATACAAGAACGAGTAATTAATGAACTGTACTTGTTTTGAATACTAATTATAAATGAAATGTTTAAAAAAGATAACCGTGAAATTTTTATTTTATGACAGATTGATAGATTTCTTTCTGAGAATAAGAATGTAATCAAAGAATTCTGTGTATTCTAACTCGTTTAGGAAAGAACGTTCATAAAATTACATTAGTATTTTAAAGGTCAAATAAAAATATTTTTCTTAATTTTTGAGCAAGTCATACATTCTTTAAGTGACATTCATAGATTATTCATTGTCTATATAACATCTCAAACATAGTTTATATTATCTATGTGTGTATACAGAAAAAATACTGCATTCAAGTAAATATTACTTGGTTCAAGTATTTCATAAGTTTATATATCTGCAAATCTATCATTAGTTCATCATAAGAATCAAATTTATTCAAAATATGAATTTATTTAAAATACATTCTGAGTCCTAATAAATTTAGCATTTTAATTTTAAGAATATTACATTTAAACAAAAAATCGGTTTACTTACTATATAGTATCAAACTAACTGTTTTTGATAAATTTTTTAATAATATTCTTGTAAAAAGAACAAATTCTTTTTTTGAGTATATGACAATGAATTTTTTTTATATGGAGAAAAATAATTTTGCTCTTTTAGCAAAATCGTCGTTGCTACTGCATATTCGTAGTGATAACAAAAAAATTTAGTTGACTGATAATGACTAATTTTATAAATTATTCATTATCAGAGCAGAAGTAATTTTATTGCCAGGATAAAAAAAATTTATTGAGTGTATTTGCCTTAAAAATCACGTTAATTTGCTATTAATGCAAAATAATGTATCTTTAGCAAATTTATTTGCTATTGGAGCAAAACTGCAATTGCTTATATAAATCCATCATGGTTCTTACAGCAAAATAATTTATAGATTCAGCAAATTATATCCAGAAAATAGTGATTAGTACTCTTAGCAAATCTTTTTACTGTCCATATAATAATGAAAAGATTTTGCTAGACTAGCAGAAAATTTGCTGGGCCAGCAAATTATTTTTTCCGTGCAAATTTGTGATGAGTATATTTTAAGCATGAGTATATTTTAAGCAAGTATATTTTATTATATAAGCAATTGATTATTATCAAGATAATATTTTTTGTTTAATATTCTTTAAAGGCAAAGATTATTTGAAAGGAGAAAAGTTAACTGAGTAGTTCTTTTTTATCAGTAGAATTATATTTTTTTGTGTGTAGAGTACTATAATTTCTGCGATAAATATCTAACCTTGAACAAAATCTTCTATTTGAAAACCCTGAAGAGACGACTGAAATATTTATTACGATGCCTCCTCGAATTTCCAGCTGGACAGACAGTCTTTCGAGTACACCATCAATCAGTTAAACAGTTACTTCGCGGAGGCAGAGAGACCCAGTTGCAGAACGTACTGCGAAGGCTGCCTGGCCTGCATCACAGGTTACTTGCTATACATATGCAAGGAGACGCATTACGAAAAGTGTCTGCGAAAGGTAGCCAAATTCGTCAGCGAGCAAAACGACAGGGTCTACAAGCCGCGCGGCCTCCTGCTCACGGACCCGACGACGCGCGGGCTCAGGCTAATAGAGATCTCGGTACTGGACCGACCCGCGTCGTGACTGCATATTAGCCGATCCAGGGAGTTCTTCATGTGACCCGCGCACTACTCCGGTAGTTACCTCGCCCGGATCACGGACATACACGCGCTCGTGAGTGCCTGCCGGCACAACTACGTCGCATACCGCCTGGTTTGAGCCAGTTGCCAGTGCAAGGTGCAGGGAATAGCGCAAATAGGGCGATATCGCCCGCGTGATCGACGGAGCTCCGCGCTAGTTTTGCTGAGGCAGCCGGTAGTTCTTCTCCGTTGAGACGACTCGCGCGTGACGTCGCGTTCTCGCAGGGCGCTCCAGGTATATCTTGCACGATCAGTTCTTGCCGAGTGCGTGCGCAATGAGCCCGAGCTCTCTCTTGCTCACGGGTCGAGCTTCGTACTTAGTCCTAAGGTAAACGTAGGTCGCGACACGTGAACACGACCAGATCTGTAACGCGTAGGACACGATTTGGGGGGTTTCACTGTCGCTGTAGATTTATCTGTCAATCTAATTATGATAACAAGCTTACAAGGTTGGCCTAATTGCGACAAGAGAGCATCGTGTTCATTGCCACGCACGAGGAGCGCGGGAGAAGGGGGGAGGGGGTGTCTCGATCTTAACGGCAGCTCCTGCACTCGAAAGAGGACGAGTATCGAAGCGTGGATACGTAACGAAATCGTGGCACTCTATAAGTTCAATTTTCTATATATGCGCGTACAGAGAAGTAACATACGAAAGTACATAAAGGTATACGTAACGGGTCGGTGTGCGGGACTGTCGGCAATAGAGAATACAAAAAAAAACTTGGTCGTTTGCATTTATATATATATATGTGTGTATATATATATATATGTATATATGTGTATATATATATATATATATATATATATATATATATATGTGTGTGTGTGTGTTATGTATATATATATATGTTATGTATATATATGTATATCTTTTTACTGTTCATGTAATAATTACATATATATATATATATATATATATATTGTGCACGAGAGAACAATGCAAAGAGTAATTTGCGCGAATGCCGTCACGCTGACTCGCTACGCATACAACGAGGTCTACATATTTTTTTACTGTTCATTTACGACTTTATCGTCGCCTGCATTTAATTAACTAACTTTAACGCGAACAAAGCGTACGCCTGCGCGTCGAATTATTTAGCGAGGACGGCGTTCGACTTCGATAACGGCGCGTATGAGCGCATTTCGTTGATGTTCCACGCGGAACGAGCCGGGAAACTTCGATCTTAGATGAGTTTCGCTCTCGCCGAACGCCGACGGATGATTTTGAGTTTTCTTCCGCGATGTATCTTCCATTGTGCGCGCGTGAAAGCGTAAGTCGTTTGTCGGCGCTCGTCGTTTTGCAATACGTACGTACACACACCGGGTCGAAGTGTTTTGTTCGTCGGGCGGATGAACGCCTCTCGACAGCAGAGAAAGAGAGAAAGGAGAAAAGTTTGCGGATTCGATCGAAATTACTGGCACAAATTTGTTGCGCTGAAGAAACCCAAGGATTGGCTAAGGGAAATTCTGTAGAAAGCGGTGATATAAGTAGGTTTACGTTCAATCGATTCGGCATTGTGATCAAGGATAAGTCCCGGAACCATTTGCGACGCAGCGCGCGATGTTTCTGTTTCTTCTCCTCCTTTTTTTACGCGCCGTCCCGTTGAAGCAATCGCAAACTGAGAACAATTGTTCGACAAGAAATTATCAAGCGGATAGTTGCGATTAAATATCGATCAATTTCTATGTCCGACCAGGAGATATCCGACGAGAAAAATCGGTTCTTAATTTTTCCATCGGTTCATCCAATGAGATGCCATTATGACCGGAAGTATCTGATGATCGGACATTCCGATCGGTTACGGAAATTGATTGGAACTTGACCGGGAATATTCGTATCGATAATTTCCTATCAGACAACTTCTCAGCGCGGACATCCATTCGGCCGTTGTCTCCGCCGGTTTTCGCCGTCGACGGTGCAGATCGCCTTCTAATTCCTTTCTTGTCAATTAGCTGTAAAACGACAATGATCTCAAACGACGCAGCATACCTGTGCCCATCGTCGCTACTTCCTCGTGCGCGCACTTTTTCGAAGCCTAAAGTATCGTAATAATGCAACAAGTGCCGTCGGAAGGGAACGCGTTACCGACATTCTCGGCGCGTACTTACCTCTTACCAGGTACGTCGCGAACGTCGAACCGGTCTATTCTCGACGAGTTCAATTTCCTGACACACGCAACGGACACACACACACACACACACAACGTGAAACAACAAAGCAAAACTGGCACGTCGCGACGGACTTGAGCAATCGATTTTGCTTGTTTCCGCCGTGTCTCGCGGGAATTGAATTGGCCGAGATTGTGTCGAGTTCTCCTCAATTCTTGGTTGATCGCTCGTGATACTTGGCGCGACGTCGCGTACGTAAACGGTGAACGATCTCTCTCGTCCTTGGTCACAATGAAAACGCGGAGCCTATCCGACGTTGTAGTGCGACGTCGCTAAAAGAATCTTGCCAAATCAGCCGCGTCACTGCCTCGGCGTCTGGAAAAGTGGAGAAGCAGAAGGCGGAGATAGAGGAGGAAAGGAAGAGGGGAAGGAGGTAGAGGAGGTGGAGGAGGACGAACAAGAAACGGAGGAATAAGTACGGATAAAGAGACTGCGTCGAAAAAAAAAATCTCGTTCGAACTCCAGAGAGAGATCGTCGAGAGACGACTGAAGGGCAGACGCCCGATTTCCGTGATCGGTTCGATCGACCACGGACACGACGATCCCGGAAACGGGAACAGCGACAAAGGGGGGAGTCCCGGACTAAGGAGAGAGCTCTCGTTCCAATTCTTTTGGACGTCGCAATATTACGTACAATAGGGTTCTGACCTTATGCAGCGCGCATGCTTGCATACAATGTGTATATAGCGGATTAAATCGTCGACACACACACACACACACACACACACACAACACAACACGTACATACATACATACATACATACACACACATACACACGGAGCAACGAGAAGAGGAAGCAAACCAAGTTTGTTATACTTAATTTAACAGTAGGACCAATATGATTGATGAGATCCGTAACTGTAAAAGGACACCATCGTACGAGTGTAATTTCTAAATGTTTTAATAATAAAAGAAAATGGCGTAATCATCATCGCACCACTACTACCACCAATTGGTCCGTCCTCCTCCAGAATCCCGTCGAATCCTGCGACTTAGGGCCGGTTTTTCCAACCTCTCGCTAAGCTAACTAACAGTTAACTCATACGTCTGTCTTTGTTTTTCCTTTAAATTAGGTAGAAATAGATATAAGATTTAACTGTCAGTTAGCTTAGCAAGAGGTTGGATAAATCGACCCCTGGGATGTCGTCTAGACGAATCAAGGATCGCATCGCCACGTGAACGCGATCATGGTGATGGAAAGGAAATTGGTATTCGCGGTTGAGAAAGTAACAATGTTCCAGTGAGAGCCCGATATTACTTTTTACCTATGATACTGCAATTAGTACTGCAATGAGAGCTCGATGTTATTTTCCATCTCTTATCTAAGGACTAAGCGGGAGCGTCATATGAACTTACGTCATCTCTAAGGACTTCAAATGAATGAAGTAATTAACGACACACTCTTTTTGAGCACATCCAGATTTTATTTAACCATGTGCAACAATTTCTGATAGGCATATTGATTCGCAGCTATATCAAAAGACTAGAAACCAGTCTCACTCTCGTGTTGCTTTAATTCTCAGACTCGGCCGAAAGCACACACACACACACACCCACACACGATGCGTTTTCGAGAAATTCTGTTAATATGTATGACCAATCGCGCCTCATATTGGCTTTTCACACGATCCGATGCGTTAAGCGTCGTTTGAGGAATACAAGAAAAGGATAAAAAAAGAAAGAGACTATAAAAGAAAAAGGAAACCACGAGACTCAATGATCGCGCACTGATTTTTGTCGAAAAATCGGAGTCGCGTCCGACTAAGACGCGCACAAAACGAATGGATGGAATGGAAACGAACACTGAGAGAGAAATTATTCGACAAGAGATTGTCAAACGGACATTTCCGGTCAAATTCCGATCAATTTTTATGTCTGAGTGTCTGATTAAATTTAATCGGACACTTCCGATCATAACAATATTTTGTCAGATAAACCGATAAAAAATTTGAGAATTTCTCGTCGGACATTTCCTGATCGGATTTTGATCGAAAATATTTATTTGATAATTTTTTGTCGAATAATTTCTGTCAGTGTATGAAAAAGATAGCACGAACTGCGCGATTCGCGTTTGCCAATCTTCCGCGAAGGGAGTCAATATACAAAACTCGAACTGGAAATAATCGGTGGACTCGCGATCATGCTTGCGTCACGGATTACGCTTTGTTTGTTGCGTGCGTGCGTGCGTGCATGAGTTAATCCGATCATTGCCTCCGTTTACGAGCACTGATTACCATCACGGACACGCTAAAGTGCCGCTCGCTATGTACCCACGATCGTTACGTACACACGTACAAGCGATGGCATCGGAGAATGAATTGGATTAGAGTTAAAAAGTCGCGCTACGGAGAAAGTATAGCGGATTGAGCGCGCGAGAATAAACGCTTCCTCCCGAGCATCTCGATGCTATCAGGGGAGTGTAAATCGCAAGTGCGAGCCCGATTACCTCATAATTCTGTACTCTTTAAAGTACAATCAGTGCCGAGCTGTGAAAATGATTAGTTAAATTTTTCTCAATTTAATAATTTTTACACGACAATCCGATGCATTAAATGTCGTTTGAGGAATACAAGAAAAGGATAAAAAGGAATACAAGAAAAGGAAAGAAACTACAAGAGAAAAAGGAAACCATGGGAGTCAATTATCGCGCACTGATTTTTGTTGAAAGAAAGATCGGAGTCGCAATACGAGCGATTTGAGCAAATACGTTTTAATTTATCTAATTGATTGAAGCCAAATCAACCGAAGAATGTTTAATTGACGACTTATTTCAACGAATCCAATTAAAGACCGTTCAGTCGGCGATTGATATGAACGAAGGAGAATCAAGGAACGTTCAATTAACAATTGAACTTAGCAAATTTAATTAAAAGATGTTTAATTGACGATTGAGCAAATTCAGTCAATCCAATTGAAAAGCGTTTGATTGCTCAAGGTTACAATTGGTTTCGCGGATAATATTCAATTCTCAGAGCTTTGTGGCATTGTGGAAAATACCAATGATTGAGCAGGACCTGTATTTAAAGGAGCATATCAATTGTCACTGAGCAATAATTGATTGAATTGACTGATTTTGCTCATATCAATCGTCAATTAAACGTTTTTTAATTAAATTTGTTGAGTTCAATCGTCAGTTGAGCGTCAGTTGTCTTTTAATTAAATTTACCAAGTTTAATTATTAACTAAACGGTTCCTTGGTTCACTTCGTTCATATCAATCGTTAATTGAACGTTCTTTAATTAAATTTGTTGAGTTCAATCGTCAGTTGAGCGTCAGTTGTCTTTTAATTAAATTTACCAAGTTTAATTATTAACTAAACGGTTCCTTGGTTCACTTTGTTCATATCAATCGTTAATTGAACGGTCTTCAAGTGAATTCGTTAAAACCAATCGTCAATCGAACGATTTTCGATTGAATTTGTTGAAATCAATCGTCAACTAAACGGTCTTCATTTGAATTAGCTCATATTACTCGTCAATTAAACATGATAATTAATTAAAAAAGTAGTTAATTATTCGCAATCATGAATCAGTGCATTCCTCTCTCGGATGCTACACTTGTAACCAATGATGCAACGAATTTGTACAGAGACTGTAACGAAATCTCATTTCCATTGATCAAAATCAGTGAGATACAAGACGGGACAGTAAAGTGGCAGTGATTCCACTGAAAATCAGCGAATATTCACTGATTATCAGTGAAATACTCCTTTTGCTGATTCAATCGGAAATATTTTCACTGATTCACTTTAAGAGAATACTTTTCAGTTAATATTCAAAGTCGATTTCCCGATCCGTAATTACTCCCATAAAACGCAAGACCGCACTCGACAAAGCAAGAGATTCACGCTGAAACTGCAAACGCAGAACGATTCTCACGATTTCGTTATACAGCGAGATCCCGTTATCATACGTTGGGAAATGTGAGGATCGTATATTTCCCGACTACCCAAGTCAGTTCTAAGTTTCTCGGAGAAAAAGCACACGGAGAATTTTGTGTATCTTCCTCAGATAGAAAAAAATTAAAACGTTACAGGGACGTGACGATTCAAGATCTTTGCAGAAAATTCAAAACGATCTGCTCACTTAATGAGACGGGGAGCCCGTTATCTAGAAAATTTAAAACGCTTCAGATTTGCTCGAGATTGCTCGCTTACAAAATATGTGTTAACTCTCTCTCTCTCTTTTTCTTTGAAAACTTTCCTAAGATCCGAAATGCTTGAAACTTATTTACTTAAAGTGACTTGAGCAACTTTCTCGTTTACCTTAAAACCGCGTCGGTTGCCTGCGAAACGGGAAATGTGCACGATACGGTACAATTGGCGCTTATTCCTCGTGAAAATTCATGCATATCATGGAGCAGCATATTCGCGAGTCCTTCGTCTTCGCACGTATCCTTGCAATCCGTAAGCACGTGTTACCTCCATCCTTTCTTGTCCTCCGAACTGTATATATGTATATACATATATATGTATATGTACTATAACCTAGGAGATATCGAGATGTGATACAAAAAGATTGTCAAAATGGAACTCGTCATCCGACGCCCCGACGTCACGACGTTCACATGCACACACAGCACACTCCCTCGCGCTCTACAATTGCGATTATGAGCAATGTCGTTGTGAGGTGCAACGACCGACCGTGTTCTAACTACCTAGCCATCGACTAAATGTACATGTTTTACGCAAATACCCTCTACATGTTATCGCCTTAAAACCTACAGCCAACAGTCTTCTCGGGATCCGATGTGTGTGAGATCATCTCTCCCTTTCCTTAGGTTTTCTCTTTCCTTCCCTTTAAATTTCCTGGAGTGAAACTTTACTCAAAGAGTAGATTGACCACCAATACACTCGAATTCGAGTGGTTTTTCGCTCGTATAGAGTGAACTCTCCACTCTGAATCGCCCAGTGAATATTTCCACTCGAAATTGAAGAATGATTCTGCCGCACCACGATCGATTGAAACATTTATTCATATGGCCGCAGAATTCACTCGAAGGAAACATTCACTCGTGCGATTTTGAGCGACAGTTCACCATTACTTCGCGTGAAAGTACTGCCACTTTTCATTCGTTTTGCGTGATATTTCACTCCGAGAAATTTGGAGAGCTCTTTTGCTTCTTTTTCCTCCTGCCCTTCCTTCTCCTGCTGTTCCCCCTTTTTTGGGGTGCATGCTTCTACGTCCTTACGTCGCGAAGGTTTGCCATTAGCGTTGTCGTTTCGCTATTTTGATTCGTCGGCTTTCTACTTTTGGTAATGGTACCGCGGAGAATATGTACGTCGGAATCGATAAAATATCTTCCTCGAGTACGAATCCTTTTCTAGGAACGATCCCCGGAGGAGGTGGTTGTTACGCAAGTACTCTTTTTTTTTTACTCGTTTCTGTTTCTACAATTGAACAGTCAACTGATTTCTCGACAACTCGATCGAAATTTCGGGCTCTCGTTTATCTTTGGATCTACTTTGGTTAGCTCCTCGCTCATCCTCTGCAATCGAAACACTTTTCGGCTTAGTAACCGTCTCTTCGCCGATATTGGCAATCTCTCTTCATCTCCATTATCCAATTCAATTAAACTCGTCTCGAGCACTCGGTTCTCACGAGTTGCGAAACTCAACGTTACTTATTTCCGTTGCTCGTTCTTCCTTTCATTTCAATCGACTGATGATCTTATCGAATGATTATTCTGGACTGTAAAATAGTCGTGGTATGATCATTTCCTCGATCACCATTCTCTCTTTTTTTCCTCTCTTTCTCTATCTATTTATCTATCTATCTATTTATCTTTCTGGCCAGAGAGTTCTTGTTAAGGATTCATTTCCCGTAAGTACTCCGCTTCTGTAAAAGTAACTTCAAACCCTCTTCGAACGATTTATCTAATTGTAGTATCCTTCGACAGTGATCCTCGCGTGTTAACCAAGCAGACGGCGGTTTCTCCGTCTTGCAATTCACGCTTTCACCACCGGCTATTGTCTGTTATCGTCGTAAAGAGCCACTTCTAGGTCACCCTAAAGTTCTTTACGCTCAATGATAGCCGCGATCTCACCCGTCGAACTTCGCAGGCGATTCTAACGTTAAAGGCTGTCCGTCCTCCACGGCCTGGAAGCTGCGACGTGTGTAACTAAATACTCGTTTCCAAGTATCGCCATGTTGTGTAGCCATTACTCCGGTATGCTCTCGAGCGTCGTCGAAGTTAGCCGTCAAATGAGCAGGCACAGCTTGTTTCGATTCTTCCGCTCCGGCAGCAACGCCTTCGACTTGCCGGCGTCCTCGGAGCTGCTGCGGGCATAGAGCGACCTGCTGATACGATGTCGGACACCCTTGCTCAACGTACGACCGCCTTTCCTCAGCGAGGCGAACTTGCCGAACGCCGACTTGTCCGGCACTTCTTTCTTGTCGGCGTGGGCGCAGTTCAGAGTCGTGACCGTGAATTCGATGTCTTTGGGCTCGTAGGAGACGAATTCTTCCACCGGCTCCTCGATCGTGTCGCGGTCGATCCACGTGAGCCCCATCTCGACCTTCTCCGCGAGATCTTGCCAGTGCTTCCTGTTCTCCATCGTGCCCTCGTAGAGCGGCAGTATCCATGGGAACGTCTCCGACATGACTTTGTAAAGCGGCAGGCAGATCACGTCGATGAAGCCAACCTGCATTTGCGGCAGCTCGTCTCGCCTCTCGCGGTCCATCATCGCCACCGGCTGTTGGTTCAGCTGGAGGCGCTCCAAGTCACCTTGGTCGAAGAACTCGTCGGCCACCAGCTTCGCCACGCGATGCTGCACCTCCCAGGGCTTCGCTATGGCGCTCACGTCGCAGGCCGTCATCATCATGCCGCACAGTACTACGGCAGAATAATCAATTAGTCACGCGAGACTTTAATTAATCGGGAGACAAGAAATAATATAATTGGCTAATAAGAGCCGAACGTTAGATAGTGGCGTGTGTAGCGCGTGAAAATATATATAAATTCTTTTCGATTTGACTTTGTTTTTAGTAGTCTAAAAATGAACTGTCAGTGAGGTCTGTCTTGTTAAGAAATATAGTAAATTTTACAAAAAATATAGCAGATTTTTTTTTCTAGAAACATAGCAAGTGTTTTAATAGCATATTTCATCTCTTTAAATATAAGTAGCACATATGAAATGAAAGGATAGTGAAGTATTGCAGAATGTTAATTTATTCCTCGGTTATAAAATCCTATAATGATTTTTATCGGGTACAAACGTTTCGTTGTCTCACATATTTAAAGCCTTTTCAATATTACATGAATTAAGGTAAAAAAATACTAACATTCGAACATGTGTACCTAATTCTGAATTGTTTTGATGTTTAAATACGATTTTTATTGTTTTGGTACTTAAATATGATTTTTATTATTTTGGTATTTAAATACGATTTTTATTGTTTTGGTATTTAAATACGATTTTTATTATTTTGGTATTTAAATGCGATTTTTATTGTTTTGGTATTTAAATACGAATATTTAAACTTTCACAAGAAATATATTTATATATTAAATATATGCATATATATGTTTAATGTTCAATATATACTATGTTAAAGTTTAAATATTCGTATTTAAAGATCAAAACAATAAGAATGTCCAGGATTAGGTACGTATTTAGAAATTGGTACTTTTATCTTAACACAAGTGGGACCAAAACATTTGTACATTTATTACCTGCAGTATTCATTTTTTTTATTCTACACGCACGACTACCTAGTGTTCGCTTTTTATTGGCCAATTATATTATTCCTTGTTTTTTGATTAATTATTAAGTGGAAATTGACAATAACAGTAATGACAATAATGTGAAAGGACGGCTTACATTCTTTCTTCTCTTCGCTTTGCCAGTCGAATTCGCCTTCGTCGATCACCTCCATAAAGCGATTCCTCTTCTTGAAGTACATCGCCAAGTCGGTCGACAAGATAGCACTCTCCACGACCCTCATCACTCGCCTGTAATCCTCCATCGAGAGGCTTTGAAAGATGTTGTTGCTGTCGGAATTGAGAATCATGACGCATTGGTCGAAGTGATGATGCTCCATTGTACTCGTCGAGTAGAGGATCGCCAACGGTGATTCCGTTTTCGTTTGAAAGGCGTTGTTGGTGCCGCGGTGGTCCAGATCGTGACAAAGACAAGCCACCAGCAGTCCCAAAATTTCCAAGTCGGTCATGAACTGCTCCATTCTGCCGGTTTTCAACATCGCGAACATCGTTTGCGCGACGTTCAGCGCGTGCCTCCAGTTGTGGTACTTTACCGGTCTGAGTAATAAAAGGTTTCGTCAAAAGGCTTCAAAAAAGTATATGGGATCATAGTTCACACGAAGTACAGTAAAATTACGAGTCATTTCGAAGGTGCAACTAAGATCAGTGTTCAGTAGTTGTAGATTATTTGTGATTTCTTTGATTAAGAGAACATGGTTTAATATAGATTCGCGTTTATGGATTGTTATTTAACCCTGTTTGCCAATCAATATTTTGTGTACGAAATACTACAGATTGATAATTAGAGATTTATGTTGATTTATTTATGATTTGTTAAATTACTCGGCAAACAATGAATATCGATCTAGATCTAATCGTGGCGCGAGAAAGTAGTCGTAGAAGTGAAAGGTTCGAGGGAAACTATCGAAATATCCACCTATAATTTTTCTTCACACTGAGAATCCATCGGCACAGGACATCGTACGGTATATGAAATTTCTGTATCAGATCGCACTGTTTGAACATCCTGATAGTGGCACGACACGTGTCCTCGTCTGTGAGATCGAAGTCGATGAAAGTGAAACTGTAGAGGTTGAATGTTTCCGCGGACGGTATGAGATCGGAGGTCAACCTCAGAGCGTCGTCGTTGTTGGCAGTCGCATGATAGCTGAGACACTCGAGGGCCACCTTTTGCTTTGCCATCAGCTTGCAGGCGGACTCGTACATCTGCGTGTTGTGGATGCCGAGGCCGCAGAAGATGGCGAACGCCTCAAATATCGAGACGTCTGAGTCGGTGAACGACGTGCCGTTGTCCTGCAGATAATTTCTCGTTATCGATGTTGCTTGACGCAAAATTATATACAGAAAGGATTTTATGGCAAAAATTACTGTAGAATTTTATAACCGAGGATTAGTTTGAATTTTGTAGTAATTGATTATCCTTTTCTTTCATATTTGCTATTTATCTATTTTAGAAACTGAAAAGTACTATTAAAAACAATGTGCTACATCGAAAAAATATTTGAAAATTTATTTGTCGGGTATAAAGTTTATTTCTGTAAAATAAAGTTTATTTTTGTGAAATAAAATTTAATGATGAATAAACTTTATATCTTTTATTACAAATAAAATTTCAAGTATTTTTTCTCAGTGTATGTTCTTTAATACACTGAGAAAAAAATACTTGAACAAATATTTGTGAGATATGAAATTTATTCATAGAAATAAATTTTATTCCACAAAAATAAACTTTCCCAGATAGACAGATATATGTAAATGTTGCAGTAACTTTACGGTGCGTAGAATCACGTAATGCATAAAGGCCATTCTACAATAGCTGTAAGAATATGGCTGTAAGGCTGTAAGACTCGAAATGAATTATTTTCATTTGCTGACAGCTCACGTTACAGCCTTACAGCCATATTCTTACAGCTATTGTAGAATGGCCTTAAAGGTTACATTCCTTATGACCCTATCACATGTTAGTCATATGTACAATATATAATGACAAAATAGAAATACGAAAAAAAATCTAAATTTTTACTCAAAACAATGTGTCATTCAGTTTACTGGCAAATACAGACATATTTTGGTAATTAGTTTTCTTACTCAATATAAAACAACTTAATGTAAAGTTTACATCGTGTCTATAAAATTGTTTCTCTTTTTAGATTTAGCATATTTACATCATATAGACATGCTTTGATTATTATATATACAGTGTGCTGCCTCGCTCAAGGAATTAGAACCTCCTATTTTATCGATCATTGTTTCAAGAATCGAAGTTTCGAACCCCAAACAGGATTCGATGTATTAAAATCGATATTTGTATACTTCATATTGACATAATGTTTATCTTCTTTTATGCGACACAAACAAGTAGTTTATATTCAATCATATTTATCGCATACAATTACTTCACACATTGATTACAAAATGCTATCACGAATTGAGATAAAATATTTCATTAAATATAATTTAAAATTTTCAATGGTACAATTTCATAAATATTACATGATATGCGGGCAACTTTTAAGTTAATTCATTGCTGCATGAACAAAAAATTGTAATCATCGCATGATATAAATGTAATGCTTCATTTAATATAAGTATATGTGTCTCCATATATATAATAAATATTTTGTAAAGTTATCATAAATCGATTACCGCACGTGATGATCACGAAAGTCTATCTGGATTGTTTCACAGAAATAAAATTTATTTGTAGGATATAAAATCTGTTTTTGAGAAACAAAATTTATTTCTGTGAAATTAAATTGATTTTGTGAAATAAATTTTATATCTCTCACAAATAAATTTTCAAGCATTTTTTTTTCGGTACATTGATAATCTATTCTGCACTGTTAGAAAATAGTAAAATTCAAAAGAATTTATATGAAAAACAATTTTAATATATTAAATTCAAACAATTTTAATATATTAAATTCAAAAGAATTTACATGAAAAACAATTTTAATATATTTTCTCATGCTATATGCTCAAGTAATGCGTACAGACATAGTAAAATATGAAGAAAATGATTGGTTTAGTTAACGTAACAACGGACGAAACAAATGCGCTTTGATTGGAACGGATTTTCTTATGAATCAAGTTTGATCGTAAGAACTAGAAAATTCTTTTTTCAATAAAAATACATTTCATTCATTTATTTTCACGTTAATTCAACTAATTTTTTTCTCCGTGAGGGGAAAAAATCGCATGAAGTGTTTGTGTTATCGATAATGACAAATGCGAACCTTATTGATTAACTGGGCGACCCCGATGACGATTCTCTGCCCGTTGACGATCGGCATGCAGAGAATACTCCTGATCGGTTCTCTCCCGCTCTCCATCACATCCTTCTTCAGCCATGTGGTGACGTCGCCGATGTTAAGGATTTGGCCCGTAGCGGCGATGTACCTCGCGATTTGTCCCAACGAGCTCGATAGGTCGCTCGTATTTGGCCGATAGACTCGGGCTTCTTGCGTCTCGTTCTCCATCTCGAAGACCATGGTGAATTTGTTGCCGTCGGAGGATGTCTGAGACACAGACGTAAGAACGTTGTAAAAAATTGCCAATCCAGATTCGTCGATTCTAGTTAGCAGTTCCTCTTTGCCATTGGTATTGCGCTGTCGTTTCTAAAGTAGGCATTTTCTAGTCGTCTGATATGAATTCATGTTGGAAAACTTGCAACGAATTATATTCGGCAAGATTAAGGCTCCTGGCTGTTCGTCGCGGAAGTCTTGTTTGATGATGTTAAAAGCGAGGAAATCGCGAGGAACGCATGTTACAAATTCCTGCAAAGTACGTCGAAATAAAAAGATACACTTTCAAAATATTCCCTTTTCCTTTCCCTGTAATAATCAACACTTTCCCTTTCCCTGTAATAATCAATAAAATAATAAAATTAATGTGACAAGATAACGAGGAAATGTAGATTAAAAAGGATGCGTAGATTGCATGTCACGTTAATTTGATGATAATTTATTGATTGTTAGATTGTTAGAACAAGAGAAAAGTGCTCGGGATATTTTAAAGGTGTGTGCCTAATCGATTGCAAGTGTCATTTTTTTGAATCTCTTTATTTTCACGTATGCTGCAGGAATTTTGGGCATGCATCTACTCGCTTTTAATGTCATCAATCAAATGTTTCGCCGCGGGGGATTAGGAGCCTAAAGGCAAGTATAACTATTGAGCAGGGATTCGTTTGTAGCGTTGATTAACGTCACGTGAATTGAACGTGGAAACGGTGAGATACGTTCGCTTTATATCGGAGAGAGCTGCTGGAAAAACAAAGTTGCATTTTTCATATTCATCCGCATGCGCATTTCGCACTAAGAGATCGAGTCACTCACGTGCTGCTGCATAATGTCCTCCATGTCGATGTTGTTGCTCTGAGCCGCCAGGAAAGAGAAAAAGATCATCAGACTTACGAATTCGAGTAACACGTGGCGGTGTCACTCACCTCTCGCCTCGACAGCGGCTTTCTGCTCTCTTGCACCGATTTCCCGGGCCGCTCGACGATTTTCTCGAGATGGCCCTGAAACGAGACGCGGAAAATCTCTCTCGTCGTGCCTTTAATAGCCGCGCCAGGCGATTAAAGCGCCTCGATTAATTTAATCCGCCTAATTAATCGCGTTCGCGTCTGCTCTTGCAAATTGAGAATGCTCAGGCGTATTAGCCTGAGAGGCAATAATGAGACGTCATGCCGCGGAAAAATCGAGATCGGAACTCAAAGTGACGTCGGAAGTCGAATACGCCTGCAGGAGCAGGACATCTCTCTCTTTTTCCCTCTCTCTCTCTCTCTCTCTCTCTCTCTCTCTCGCTCTCTTCCTCTCCCCCTCTACGCTCATTTGCATCTCCTATTCTGCGACTCTCGTCATGGTTCGGCGATAAGATATCGCGGACTACATCACGCCGTGCTTTTTCGCGGGCAAAAGTGCGCTTACTGCCTCGCCGCAGTCCAAATCCAGCAGATAAACGGCGCATCTCTCGCACTTGAGCAACTCCTTCGCTTCGGTCATGATCTTCGTGACAAGGCACTCGAGATTGTTCTGCTCCTCGAATATGTTCCTCGCCAGGTTGAGGAGTATCTGATTGCGCCTGTACTCCTGCACGGACAGCTCGAACAATTGTGCGTTCTGTATCCCAATGCCGCAAAAGGTGAGGTATCTGATAATCGATGCGTCGTAAAATTAGACGGGAAATAGTATTAATAAACGTATCGATCGCACGCGGCGCCGATTATAATTGCGTTACGGGGATCGCGCGCGGAGCCTTGTAACGCACGGCGGCCTTGTGTTATGCAATCAGCTTAATGTAAGTACTCTCTCTTTCTCTTGCCCCGAATGACATTTCGTTCATCGAATGCGGTGCCTGCGCTCGCGGTCCTCGTTGCTGCACTGAGAGAAAAAATATCTAAAAAAAATAGTAAATATTTCCTTGGTGCGAGCGCACGGAAAGAGAAGAGATATGGTGCATATAATCAGAAATATTTTGTTGTGCGCAGTTACATCATCCCAATTATCTTGGTGTAACGGTATAATGAATATGGTTGATGTGACAGTTGCTACACCAATTACATCAATGTAGTTGCATGTGAGCTGCTTGTGACAACCAGAAATCGGTTGGGGTGATATTTGGGATAAACCGCACAATTATTAATGTCCCTCTCAAACACTGGCACTATAGAAAAACCCGGTTTTTCTTATGACCAGCGGCATCAATTCACAGTTTTAGTTACACATATTTTTTTTGGAATCATAAAATGCCTGCAAAAAGCTTAACAGCAATGTTGATTGTATGAAAAACTAAGTTTTTCTAGAGTGCAAATGACTAAAAGAGGTGCCAATAATTGTATGGTCTATCTTATCATGTATACTTTCTGATTGGAGCAACCAGATATGATCAGTGCTGCAACGCCAATGACTCAGCAATTGCTCTGCGGTTGTAGTAACCACATAATTAGTTGTTCCGTATTTTACTATTAAATCTGATTGACACAATCAGATTTATATGTGAGCCACTCAGGCTGTTTCTTTTCCTGAGTATTAATAACATATTTACTGAAATCTAAATTCTTTTATTTAAGTAGAATAAATAATTGTTTTCACGAGAAGCTAAGATTTTTTTAAGCCCTTGAGAAAATGTATATCTTCTTATTTGAGGGATATTTTATACTAATATACTAATATAAATAAATATGTTAGTGTTTTATGTTAGTATAAGTAAATATATTATCAGCCCCCACTGCGAATAAATATATACTATTTCTTAGATATTTTTGCTCTCAGTGTACGCGCGATCATACGAAACTACGATCGTTTTTCTCTTCGTCGAGATACTCTTTCCACATTTGCCTCGATATAATGCATACACAACACGTACATACATGTACACACATACCTTTGGAACACCTCGACGTCCCTCTCGGTGAACTCGTTGCTGCCGTTCGTTTTGTTGATGATCTGAGCAACTCCGATGACGTCGCCCTCGTAGTTGCAGATAGGCATCGACAGGATCAGCGTCGTCTTGTACCCAGTCCGCATGTCGATGGCGCTGTTGAACCTCGGATCCTGATGGAAACGCGACGGAAATATCCGTTTTAATGTCAGCGACAACGACGACGACGACGACAACAACAACAGCGGTAAAGGTGTAAACTCGTAACGTCGATTAATTAATGGCCGTCGTTGGCTAGGCTATTTAGAGAGTTAATTATACGATATCTCTCTCTCTCTCTCTCTCTCTCTCTCTCTCTCCCACTCTCTTTTTCTTTATTCACTCACTCACTCACTCATTCTTACTCTCTCTTTATCGTGCGACTTTCGTCATATTAATTACAGCGCCGTGTAGATCGTTTCGTTGAAGGGTTCAACGTGCGTAAACGCGCAGTACAGCGACGAATCGATCGCATCCTCTTCTTCCTCCCCCTCCCCGCGGCCCCGAGAGAAAGTATAAGTTAGGGAAACCTTGTAAGCGTCCGTGATGTTGATAATTTCCTTAGTCTGCGCCACGTAACCGGCGATACCGACTCCGAACGGTATCTTAATCTCCTCGTTCTTAGCCCGTTGTACGGCCTCCTCGAGTTCGGTGTCCTGGGTGACGTCGAATAGCTTCGCCACCAGGTACCGATCCTCTAAGGGTCCCTTCGCCAGGAACAGGCTGCCGCGATCGGCGTGGGTGAGTAGGCCGACGTTCACCAGGATCTTATGGCAGAGCACGTTGATGTCGAGCTCGTTTGCCACATCCCGGATTAGCTCCATGAACAGGTCGCTCTCGTCCAGCCGGCCCAGCTCTTCGCGACGACCCATCAACAAGCTGTGAGTCCTGGAAGGTGGTTTAGTAGCTTGGCGGACGTAAAGATCGTGTGCGCAAGGTCAATTCCGACGATTGATTTGTCGGCTCGTGCTAATCTCGTGCCTATTCAGTTTCTTCAGCAGAGCGCGAAATAGCAAAGCGACATCGCTGCATATTACTATGCCGTTGTCGAAGTTAGTTACCTGTTGGGACTCTTGCTGCGCTTCGCGGGTGAACTCGAAGCCAGCCAAGTTTGAAAGAGATCGGACGTGACGCTGTTGCGTTTGCCGTGTCCGAGGAGGAGACTTTCCTCTTGATGCACGCTCGATGACGTGCTCGGTGCTCTCGTTTGCTGTTGTATACATGTGCTCTGCAATCGTTGTCGAAGCTGGAGGCTCGCATTCTCCCGCAGCCACGTCTCTACTAGAGCGGGATGTGTCTCCAGGTACCTTTATGTCGTGAGGGTCGTCGTAAAGAGTGTTATTGAGTGGAAGGAATGGAACAGTGACGAAAAAGATGTAATAGAAAATGAACATTTGATAGTTCTTTTACATTTGCATTGAGAAAAAGAGTAGCTGTGAATTAACGCAACAATGGCACGTGAGAAGAATGTATATTTATTATAGTTTCTTTCATAAAATTTTCTTTTTGATTTTTCTATTTCCAGTGGTGCAAGAAGTAACACACAGTATATTTTTTAATAGAATATTTCAGTCCTCAAAATATAAATAGCGCATGAAAAGATAATAAATTACTCCAGCATGTCCTTGGTAACAAAATTCTATAATAATTTTTGCTATAAAATTCTCTTCGTGCACAACTAAACGTGTTTTCCTGGAAGGAAACGGAATTTTTGGCTCTAATAAGTAAAATTCCATCCAAAGAATCAGAAATTCTATACTTAGAAAAAATATTTGAACATTTATTTATAGGATATAAAGTTTTTTTTTTACTTGTAGAAAAACTTTATTTCACGGAAATAAACTTTATATACCGCAAATAAATTTTCAAATATTTCTTTTTCTTTTTATATTTCCTTCAAGCAAAATATATTTAGCTGTGCTCAAAGAGAATTTTGTAATAAAAATTATTATAGAATTTTATAACCGAAGAATATATGAATATTCCGCAATAATCTATTATGCTTTCGTTTTAAATGTGCTACACCAAAAAAATGATTTGAAAATTTATTTGTGAAATATAAAGTTTATTTCTATAAATATTTATAGAAATAAACTTTATATTCTATAAATAATATTTTCAAGTATATTTTTCTCAGTATATTATATATGCTATTATGTGTTCATTATTTATATATATAACAGAACATTATTTATATATATATATAACAGAATTTTTGATTATTAAGAACCGAATTTGGCTCTTAAGAACCAGAAATTCTTCCTTCAAGTACGTTTAATTGTGCCGGTGTCCATTAATTCGCACAATCTCCTTTCTCCGTATGACATTTCCTCGAATAGTTTACCTGCCGACTCTGTCTATGGTGAGGTTGTCGTCCTCGTCGTATTCGTGTATGGTGTCTTGGCAGCTGACCTTCTTGCTCCTGCATAATCTGCCCTCCTTCACGTCAGTCTTTGTACTTGTACTTAGGGGTACTATTTTTGATTCTGGTCGCGCGGACGTTTTGAGTGTTTCGGGACTGTCGTCGGCGGGATTGGCTGCACGTTGCGATTCCTGGGGATTGAACGAGCGCACCAAAGGACACTCGTCCTTCTCCGGGGTCCGCGAGGACACCGGCTTAGTCGAGATCTTCATTGTCTCGAAGCTCTCGATGTTGTTGTTGTGATTCGCCTACGATAGGTATCGCGGGGTAAGACGATCTGTGACTTCGCTAGTATAGACTAAACGAAAAAGAAACTGTTGGCCGTGCGCGATTTTTATACCTGATTCGTCCGAGTTAGCTCGCGACATGTAATGTGCGGTCAGGAAATCGCGCGCGCGCGCGCGATAACTGTGCGACTTCCGTCGTTACGTCAAGAGCAGCATCCGGATTTGGACGGATTGATTCTTTTCTATGCGGCAACGTGTAAATTCGAAATGTAATTTATTGCCTTCCTCTTTTACACGAACTCCTCTTCTCTCACACATAATTTTTGAAAATAACTCCGACGTCGTCAAAAACATTCCTTAATTTGTTCAGACATATTGTCGAAACGTAGCTGCACGGTTACAACGCGACGAAAGCATTAATGCAAATTGTTTAATTACTTCCGTGTCGGCGGCCTCCGACAACTCATCATCCACTTCGTCTTCTGCTTCCATATCACCTTGAGCTTAATGTAACGTGCATCGAGCGCAATAGGAACGTTCAGTTATGCTCGCTACGAGAGCCGTGCGAATGAGGAAGCTTCACGTCTCGTTGCCCCTTTGCTTTCCGGCACTTGCATGCGCCTTTGCGAGCACCGCAAACTCGAATCTGAAAGAAGTTTCGCGAATTTCTCCGTGACGTCATCATTTTTCCTCTCTTTCTATGCAGGGCGTCTGACAATCATTGCCACACCCGTTGTAGATAGAACTCGTCAAATTGAACACAAAGTTTCTTACAACTACGTAGAATTTTTAGTTATTAATTAAGAAAGATTGACGAATAGTTACACATACGCGCAATTCAGCAGGTGAGTTGTGACGTATCCTGTCACATGCTTGTAATTAATAATTAATAACTCAAGATCTACGTGGGGCAAATGGTGGAAGACTTTTTTGTTCAGTTTGACCTAATAATTTAAAATAAAAAATTATAATAATTAAAGAAAACTCAAAATTTTACGTAGTTGTTTGTGAAATATCTAGACGAATCTGCATTTATCCATCTGTTTTTCTCTTTTTTTTATGATTCATCGCAATTCGAAGAAGTAATTGTAGCTTGTAGAATGACAATACTTTAATATGAAGTTCATTTCTCACATATAAACATACGTATAATCGTAAAATATGTGCACGGAGAGAATATTAAAGTTTTCTTTTTTCATATAAATTCCTATTAATTTTATATTTCTACACACACAGAAAAATACATACAGCGTTTAAATAAATATTACTTGTTTCCAATATTTCATAAGTCTAGATATCCACAAATCTATCATAAGCATCCAATTTATTGAAAATACATTTTGATTCGTTGCGAGTTTAATATGTCAGTCAAGATAATATTATTAAATTAAAACAAAAAATTGCAGTTATCACATAGAATCGAGCAAACTTTTTCTTCGAGATGGAGTTTTCTTAAATAATACAGATATTCTTGTGAACAATATTTTTGTGATAGAGAATATTTTTGTGAGAAGAATTAATTATTTTCTTGAGTATATGATAATAAGTTTTTCTAATTTATAATGAAGTATATCTTAAGATTATCATCAAGAAAATATTGCTGAGGATAAGTATTATTTAAAAGAAGGAAAGTAAATTGAGTAAATGCATTTGTTAGGATATTTTACTGTGTAGCAGTGCAAAAATAGACTGTTAGTAAGATTCACTTTGCTTAGGAACATAGAAATTTCGCTAGAAATATAGCAAATTTGTTAACAGTACATTTTAGTCGCTGAAATATAAAGTGAAAAGATAATCAGTTACTGCGGAATATTGATCCTCGGTTATAAAATTCTATATAGCAATGTTTATTATAAAATTCTCTCCGCGTGAACTTCGGTCTTCCATCGATTGTCGATTAGTGTCGATGAACGTAATCCCGCATCTCTTGGTATCTCGTTCGTCCTCGCGATCATTCACATGACCAAACGGGTACGTAAATGCCGGGGAACACTTTGAGAGTTTATGAACTCCGCCTGAATGCCCGGAACGTCACCTACAAATGTCGTGGATCGACGGCGATCCCACGAATTTCCTATTTCATTGCTATGACTTGTATAACTCGCATACGAGTGCCATCACCCCTCACCGCCGTCGCTGCCACCCCCGTTAAGTAAACCACCTCCTTTGCGCGTTTTCATCCTCTTTCCGTCTCCGGAGATCGAAGGCAACGACCCACCGGGGAAATCCACGTCTAATCACACTGAATTATGAAATTACACGATTCAATATTCACGAGAGCCGCTCGCCGCGCCGTCTGCAATTCTCAACGAGAATAACCGCTTCGTATTAAGTCCCTTGTTAATGCGTTTCCTTTCGATGATTATCCTGTCGGTGAGGCTCGCGACATTTTGTCCGCTAAATTGGAACCGAGACTGCGGATAATTGGAATGTCATGACGTCGTGCGGTATGTGGCACGTTCAATGAGACATTCTCTCTCTTTCTCTCGCGTGGTTGCTTATTATATTTAAGCGCGTTGCGTAGCGCGCCCCAGTTATTTTTACTACGATATGCTATCTATGCGCTTCTGTATGTAAGCCGACGGTCGACGGGGTGTCGTCGTATTTAAAGCACGTGTCGGAACGTATCGCGAACTCTTACCATTTTTTAACTCGAGCGATCCAACAACCATGCACACAGGGTGTCTGACGATTTGTTATGCAGCCGCGGTGCACAGGTAGAGAACTCGTTAAACACAAAATTCCTCTGCCACTTCGCAAACAACAACGTAGAATTTCGAGTTATTAATTAAAGAGGATTGGCGAATGATCACGCGCAATATGGTAGATGAGCTGTGGTGACGACGTCGCGTTCTCGTACATTAAATCAAACTGAACAAAAAAAGTTCTTCACAAATGACCACGTAAATTTTTAGTTATTAATTAAAGAAGATTGGTGCATTATGGCGGATATCGTGCGCCAGACTTCTTTAATTGATAACTAAAAATCTACGTTGTTATTTGTAAAATGACAGAGGACTTTTTTGTTCATTTCCACCTGATATGCAAGAACACGACGTTACCATCACAGCTCATTTATTGTATTGCGCGTGATTATTCACCAATCTTCTTGGATTAATAACTAAAAATACGTGATTATTTGCAAAATAATATAGAACTTCTTCATCCAGTTCATTTAATGTGCAAGTACACGGCATCGCCATCATAGCTCATCAACGGTATCGCGTGTGATCATTCGCCAATCTTCTTTGATTAACCCTTAGGCTATGACGTGGGTTCTCAACAGGACTTCAAGAATAGTTTTTGTACGATATCTTTTGAGAAAAAAATTTTATTAAATTACTAGAAATTGCAAGTAAACATTTTATTTAAATAATATCTAAATGTTTTTGTTATATTTTTTCTTATGTAAAAAAAGAAATGGGGTCGGTGGAGGTTTTCACGCCGTAATTAAAACGTTGATAAAAATAACGCTGCAGCCTAAAGGTTAATGACTAAAAATTGACATGGTTATTTGGAAAATGGTAGAGGATTTTTCCGTTTAGTTTCACGATGTTACCATTACAGCTCATCAATCGTATCGCATGTGATCTTTCATCGATCTTCTTTGATTAATAATTAAAAATTTTACGCGATTGTTTGCGAAATGGCAGAGGAGTTTTGTGTTCAGTTTGACGAGTTTGACCAATTTATCTGTGCTCATCATCACAGTTGAGTAACAAATTGTCGGACACTCTGTGCACAAATGTATTTTTCAGTTCACACGCATATGTCAGATCACAGAGAGTGGAAAATGAGCACGTGTTCGCGCCGCGTGAGATTCCGACATTTTTCGCCTGACATTAAGCACAGTTGCCGTCCGTCGCGGCGGTTTTTCGAGAGCTCTAACGGCAAGAAATTCCGCAAATTCCGAATTCGTCGGGAGTGCAAATGAGTACGGGCGGCTCATCGATTATTTATACGAGGGGCGAGCATAGAGACGTCCGATTCGCGGGGGGTAAAATCAATTCTCCGATACGCAAATTCGATTGCGCCGCGATCGGCACGAGGAGCCGCATAAATACGGCGAGCGCAAAATACAGCTCACCTGCGGCAGAGAAGCATTCCCAAGGAGTGTCTTCTTGTGAGCGCAGCACACCCGCGTGCCCGGCCCGGAATAGCCATCACTCCTGCAAAATGTCATTCGCGATTTCTTCACGCACATGAGGGCTCGTCTCCATGGACGATCGAGTCCTTCGTTGACGGCCACCGTATCGGGCAGACATCATCGTCCCTTAGCAGGCCGTGGCATTCTCCCCGACCGCGCGTCACTATTTTTTTTCAACACGGGCACACGTGAAAATCGCACACCTTCCCACGTCGCCCTCGACAGGTCGGAAGGGTTAGGCGATCCTCTCAACGATCTCGAGGATCCTGCGAGATTACTTTGCACACACCGAAGCTAACTGGATGATCTTCCGTTAATCTGCATCAGACGCAGCGTCCTTCCACGTTATTCTGGACGGGCCGGGAAGTCGTTGATCGCTGAGGGAAGTTCGGAGTTTCGCGAGAATTCGGGAGCACCTGCGATCACGCAGACGCGCGGACGTAGCCCGCGTAGTTTTTTTTTCCCTCACTTGATTAGGTTCGCTCGATATGTCCGCTATACACCCGACGGCACACGTTTGCACTAGGTTCGGGTGATGCCGCGTTCGACAGTCGCGCGGCCGCAGACGCCATCCGATTTTCCCACCTCGCCGACCGTCTCGCGGTCACTTCCCACGCAAGCACCGACCGCGGCGCGTGTCGTTATCTAATTAGCGCGCAAATTACCGCGGTGATTAGAGGCTCCCTCGCTGCGCGGCCTCCGCCGAGGTCGCGGCAAGATCACGCGACAAGATGCGAGACCACGCGCGATCGACGTGAATCTCGGAAAAAGAGAGAAAGAGAGAGGGAAAGAGAGAGAGAGAGAGAGAGAGAGAGAGATAGATAGAAAGACCAACAGGATTTGCGGGAGCTACTTCCGGGAGCGAGATCATCGCCTCCCCACCTGGAGGACTTCCATTTTCCCCACGTCGTCGGAGCCGAATAAAAAGGCCCACTTCCACAGCACCGAATCAACGAGGACGATTTCGCGATTTCGCGGCAGGATCAGCGCGCGGCCCAAAGTTCGAGACCGCATCGGACCGCGTGTCCTCGCGAAACGGCCCTCTTCCTCGTTTTCATCCTTCCTTCGCCGGCGGGGTCGTCTCACTCAGCGAGAAAAATAGAGAAGTTGGAAGAACCAAAGGTCTTGGATGGACCGACGCCGTTGGCTAGAGAGCGATTAGTAATTATCGCCAAGTCGCGTCGATCTCGGGAAGATCCTCGACCAATTCGGCAGCCCGCGACTCACCCCCCAAGCACCACCCTCTCGGTCTGTCATACTTGAGGATCAGCTCGCTGGAGCACACAGTCTCTGTTCCTCCCGCTCACCCTCTTTCTATCTTCATCTCCACCTCCAGTCTACCCCGAACGGTTTTCGTTTCGTTTCAATCTCGTGGGATTTCTTGGAGGCTGGGCCGGGTGGCACCCCGTGGAAGACGTGGGGCTCGCTGCGGCGTGTACGTTTCGCGCCGCGGATACCGGAGCGGGGAGCTCGCCGTGGAGCCGTGATGGACCGGTTGAAAGCTCCGAGCTTACTGAAGTCTCTCGGGTCAGGCGCGGGTGTTCGAGGAGAGCGGAGCAGCGCGGCGGAGCGGAGCAGAGCTCGGCTGGTTACGCGTCCGAGCCTCCCACGGGTTCCTCCTCGTCGTCGCGCCGCGCGCGTCTCGTACGCGCCGCCGTCCGTCTTGGGATACTATCTCCGCATCGAACGTGGATGTCCATGTGTCCGAGCACTGGTGTGTATGTGTGCGCCTGTGTATTGGCTCGGTGATGGTTGTGTGTGTCTGAGCACGTGAAGCTCACGGACGCAGACTATGAAAAGCTCTTCTTGGTGGTGGACCGTCTGATGGTAGTAGTGGAGAGTAGTATGTTCTCGGCATGTGTGTGTGTGTGTGTGTGTGTGTATGTCGCTCGAGCAGGTGCTGGTCTTTGCGCGCGTGTGCGTAACGTTTCCGAACGCTTATCGTCTTCGTGGTGTGGATGTCGCTCGAGTTAGATAGCAGTCTCGTCGAGCGTGTAGATGTAGCTCATGGACGCTCATTAGATGAGGGTACGGGTCTGCGTGCAGGTGTATGTGTGTGTATGTGTTTCTGAGTGCAATTCCATGCACCTGTGTGTGTGCGCGCACGTGCGGCAGGGAGACCGAGGAGAGAGACGTCTTCTCGTGTGCGCGGGCTCGCTCTTTCTCTCTCCCTCTCCGCGTCGCGCGTGCTGCCACCGGCAAGATCGATAACAGCCGCCAAAGAGAGAGAGAGAGAGAGAGAGAGAGAGAGAGAGTAACACGGTCCCGGACACAGGCAGGCGAGTAGACAGGCAGGCAGGCAGGCAGGCAGACAGACAGACAGGCAAGCAGGCAGGTAGGCAGCATCTCCCGCGCGTACTTGTCTACCCTGCCTACCCTCGTGAGAAATTTTCGGCTTCGGAATTTCGCGAGCGTCGATATCCGATCACACCACGCGCGCTCGATCGATCGCCCCTTGCGGGCCCGCGCGGCCTTGCTCGCCGAAAGCTAACGTGCATGGCACTCCTAATCGAACACACGTGCGCGCGATGCGTTCACGAAGCTTGTGTGTGTGTGTGTGTTTATATGTACGTAAATGTGTTCTTGTGTGCGTGTATGTCTGTCACGAAATTTAACTATTCGACGAGAGCGCGCGCGCGCGTCGACGCGGTGTTATTCACAGCGTGACGTGCGGTAACGTCGACGTGCCCTCAAATGTCATCCCCTTGAGCCTCGACCAGCACGCGACTTACGATCCGTGAGAAAATTTCGCGGAAATTTCGGAACAACTTCGGGGAGGAGCTCGAGGGCGATGGTGATCGTGGGAGTTGTTTTCGCGACGTACTCGGGGCACATTGACGCTCTCGATACTGGTTGTTGGTAATCGCGGGGTGTGCTGGGGGTGCCTCAGCGTCTCAGCGCTTTGAGAATCCGTCGCTCTTCGAGTCGTAACGTATGCTCCTGTCGGTTGTTGAACTTCGACATGATCGAGCTCGAGATTCGCGAGGCAACGGAGGCTCCTATTGCCTCGTGGAAGAGTTTGGGTATCGGTTAACGAAGCTTAGCGTAATTTCTGAGGCTCATCGTAAGGCGACTTCATACTTGAAGAGAATCTCTTGGATTATAGGGACTCGGCTCGTTTCTATCTCCTGAACGCTTCAATTACTTCCGAGCATTGTCTGCGGAGTGAATAGATAAGCTCATTGTTGGCGTGTACATGAATACACCTTCCTTGACAGAAATTTAATGCGGTTTTGGAGCAGTTACTGAACAGTTATACTAGTTTTTATCCAGTAATTGAGTTTTCGTCAAGTAAAATTACTTGAAATCCGAATAAAAGAGGATGTGACGCTTTTTCTGCAGTTACTGCCCATGAAAGATGCGCGAAATTTGAAGCCATTTACTCAACGAGAACCTAACAGAAAATGAGCGGAAAAACTATTCAGTTGATTGACAATCAAACCTGCTGCTCATAAAATGGGCAAGTTTGTTTTAAGTATATATTATAGTATTTCATTTCTGTGTGCTCTCTAACTGAATAATTTCAATGCTAATGAAAATTATATACAGAGTGTCTCACACTCTCCTCCGGGCATTTTGTGGGGACGTAGAACAGGTTGAGGTGAACATAAAAGTCCGTTTTGCGATATTCGCAATAATTATATACATTAATTATATATATTAATTGTAGAAAACTTGTAAATGATCATGCAGAATATGGTAAATGAGTTATAGTAGCAACAACTGCCGTCGTGTACTTATACTTTAGATCAAATTGAACAAAAAAGTCCTCTACCATTTTCCAAATAATCACATAGATTTGTAATTATTAATTAAAGAAGATGAGTGCACTATCACGCAAAATCGTGCAATAATCTTCTTTAATTAATAATTAAAAATCTATGTGATTATTTGGAAAATGGTAGAAGACTTTTTTGTTCAACTTGATCTAAAGTATAAGTACACGACGGCAGTTGTCGTTACTATAACTCATTTACTATATTCTGCATGATCATTTACAAGTTTTCTACAATTAATATCTCGATAATTATTGCGAATATCGCAAAACGGTATAGGACTTTTATGTTCACCTCAACCTGTTCTACGTCCCTACAAAATGCCCGGAAGAGAGTGTGAGACATCCTATATATATATATAAGTTTAGAACACATCAACTTCAATACTATTTAACACTACAGAATCTGATGAAATAATACAACTACAAGAACGTATAAAATGTATCATTTGATGGTTGTGAAAAATATAACGTAAAAGACGAAAATTTGAGAGAGAAAATATATATTACGTGTCAAAGATTTCCTACGCTATATATATATATGTATAGTATAAATGAAATAATACAACTACAAGGACGTATAAAATGTATCATTTGATGGTTGTTAAAGATATAATATAAAAGACGAAAATTTGAGAGAGAAAATACATATTACGTGTCAAAGATTTCCTACGCTATATATATATATAGCGTAGAAAATATTTGACACGTAATATATATTTTCTCTCTCAAATTTTCGTCTTTTATGTTATATCTTTAACAACCATCAAATGATACATTTTATACGTTCTTGTAGTTGTATTATATCATTTACGCTATATATATATATATATATATATATATATATATATATATATATATATATATATATATATATATA